CCTCAGTCTCACGGGTTGGAGTTCTGTGGTGGGATCATAGCTCATTGCAGCCTTGAACCCTGGGGTTCAAGTAGCTGGGAGGCTGAGGTAAAACTACAGATACAGGGTCACACCATGTTTCCCAGACTGCTCTTTAACTCCTGGACTGAAGGGATCCCCCTACCTCAGCCACACCTGGACACAGCTTTCTATTTTTGAGCTACATTAACACTGTACCGGATCAGAGTTGGTCAACTGCCCTTTTCCAGCCAACAACACACAGGACCTAGCTGAGACACTGCAGTTACCAGGCTTCACTCTGAGGAGAAGGCAACACATCTCCAGGCCCATACTGTCCCTGTGACTTCCCTGAAAACCCACCCTTGTGACATCACAGAGCCCCCCTCAGATGGACCCAATCAGAACTCTGAAACAAAATGTCAGTTGCATGCCAGTCAGATGTGGGCAGTGCTCATGTTTCAAAAGCTAACACTGGCATGATTTAGTGTTGGACCCAGAAAAATGAAAGATAAAATATGTAAATACGCACTGAGTACAATGGCTCACACCTGTAATCCAACACCTTCAGAGACCAAGGCAGGTAAATCACAAACTCAGGATTTTGAGACCAGCCTGGCCAATAAGGAGGCTGAGGAAAAAGAATTGCTTGAACCCAGGAGGCAGAGACTGCAGCCAGCCGAGATCACGCCACTGCACTCCACGCTGGGTGACAAGAGTGAAAACTTTGTCTCAGAAAAAAAACAATCCTTTGGGAAGTCCTTCTACAGAAAGATCTTCAACGTGAGACTGGAATAAAAGTACAAGATCATCCTGCACCTTTGGCTTTTACAGCTTGAGCTGTAACTGAAAACAAATATATATCATTTAAATACAGTTTGTAGAAAAGAATAATTATTCAATCTGTATTGCTCTTTAATTTTTTTTTTTTTTTGACGAAGTCTTGCTCTGTCGCCAGGTGGGAGTGCAATGGCACAATCTCAGCTCACTTTAACCTCCATCTCCCATGTTCAAACAATTCCCCTGCCTCAGCCTCCTGAGTATTTGGGACTACAGGTGCCTGCCACCATGCCTAGCTAATTTTTGTACATTCAGTAGAGACGGGGTTTCACCATATTGGCTAAAATGATCTTGATCTCCTGTCCTCATTATCCACCCGCCTTGGCCTCCCAAAGTGCTAGAATTACAGGCATGAGCCACCATGCCCTGCATTGCTCTTTAACTTTTATAATTTGTTCTTTACTTCTGTTATTGTAACTGAGTCCAAAAAATAGTATTAAAAAAATAAAAAGAAACCCCCAAATGCTAACATTCTGATTATCAAAGTCTACAGTAAAATATCCCGTTACAGCTGGGTGCGGTGACTCACACCTGTAATCCAGCACTTTGGGAGGCTGAGGTCAGTGAATCATATGAGATCAGCAGTTCGAGACCATCCTTGCCAACATGGGAAAACCCATCTCTACTAAAAATACAAACACTACCTATGTGTGGGGGCAGGTGCCTGCAATCCCAGCTACTCGGGAAGCTGAGGCTGGAGAATCACTTGAACCCAGGAGGTAGAGGTTGCAGTGAGCCAAGATCATGCCATTGCACTCCAGCATGATGGACAAGGGGGAAACTCCAGCTCAAAAACAATGAAATAAAATAGAGTAAGAAAAAGAATGAAATAATCCCATTATTTAAGCCAATGTACATACAGCCAGACTTTCTATAACAGTCTGAACCAAAGTATAAGGCCAGAAAAACATACCAGCTAATGTCATTTAATATATACAGTTCTAAATGGAAAATGTAATGTTTTCAAAACATAAACATTAGTGTAACCTTATTGGACTTATAAAAATAATTTTTTTGCCTAATAGAAACCAAAGATTCTCCTGAACTGCAACATTTCAGCTAGCATTTATTTACTCAAGATTGAAATAATACAACATTTATAAAAAGACAAGAACTGGGATGGGCACTGTGGCTCATACTTGTAATCCAAGCACTCTGGGAGGCCGAGGTGGTCAGATCACCTGAGGTCTGGAGTTCGAGACCAGCCGAACCAACATGGAAAAATCCCATCTTTACTTAAAAACAAACAAAATTAGCTAGACATGGTGGTGTACACCTGTAATCCCAGCTACTTGGGAGACTGAGGCAGGAGAATTGCTTGAACCCAGGAGGAGGAAAAGGTTGTGGTGAGCTGAGATCAAGCCATTTGCACTCCAGCCTGGGCAACAAAAGCTAAACTACGTCTCAAAAATAAAAAGAGAAATTCAAGAGCTAGTCATTAAACAGGCTCACACCTATAACCCCAGCATCTTGCAAGGCCTAGGTGGGTGGATCTCCTGAGGTCAGGAGTTCGAGACCAGCCTGACCAACATGGTGAAATGCCATCTCTACTAAAAATACAAGAAGTAGCCCGGCATGGTGGCACGTACCTGTAGTCCCAACTACTACAGACACTGAGGCAGGAGGATCGCTTGGACCTGAGAGGTGGACATTGCAGTGAGCTGAGACCATGCCACTGCCCTCCTCCCTGGGTGACAGAGCAAGACTCTCTCAAAGAAACAAAAAATGTCAAGAGCATGGGAAGTAGTAAAATTAAACATAATCGACAATCTCCCATCAGAATAGCTCCACTTTTTGCTATCATTATGTCTTAAAGTCTATTTGCTAAACATTGACATTTGTACGAAAGTTTTAAGTGCACCATATAACACATTAGTGCTGAGTGAAGTTTAATATCCTTTGCTGTACACTAAACTTGAATATCATACTTACAGATCAAAACAAAAGGATCTTTCCCTAAGGTAATTATCACTAATGCTGCTTTAAAATTATAAAATGCAAAGATTTTTATAATGTCACAACAGCTGCAAATTATTGTCTTTAAACAAAATAATCTAATAAATCACCATCACAATAAAAGCCCCACAACATAATCTATTTCATCTTATAAAAAAGCACTTACATTTATAAAACTGTTAGAGTCAATTTATAAAACTTTACTACCAAATTATTTTTACTTAGAATAATACTAAATTAACAATACAATAAAAGCATAGGCCACGTGTGGTGGCTCATAGCTGTATCCCAGCACTTTGGGAGGCCCAAGCAAACGGATCGCTTGAGGTCACAAGTTCCAGATCAGCCTTGCTGACATGGGGAAAGAAACCCCACATCTACTAAAAATACAAAAATCAGGCAGGCGTGCTGGTGGATACCTGGAATCCCACCTATTCAAGAAGCTGAGGTAGAAGAATCACTTGAACCTGGGAGGCGAAGGTTGCAGTGAGCCGAGATCGTGCCGTTGCATTCCAGAATGGGTGACGAGAGCAAAACTCCAGCTCAGAAAACAAAATCCCATTACTTTAAGCCAATGTGGATACAGACAGACTTTCTACAACAATCTGAACCACATCATAAAGCCAGAAAAACACATCAGCTAATATTATGTAATACATATAGTACTAGATGGGAAAGGTAATATTTTCAAAACATAAACATCAGTGTAACCTTACTGGACTCGGAAAAACACTTACTGGAGTTATAAACATAATTTTTAAAAGTAACAGAAACAGAAGATTCTCCTGAACTACAACATTTGAGCTAGCATTTATTTACTCAACATTAAAATACTACAACCGGTATAAAAAGTCAAGAGTTGGGCCGGGTGTGGTGGCTCACAACTGTAGTCTCAGCACTTTGGGAGGTCGAGGCAGGCAGATCACCTGAGGTCAGGAGTTCAAGACCAGCCTGATCAACATTAAAAACCCTTGTCTCTACTAAAAATGCAAACTTGGCTGGGCATGATGGCACATACCTGTTATTCCACCTACTCGGGAGGCTGAGGCAGGAGAATTCTTGGAACCCAGGGGGCAGAGGTTGCCATGAGCCAAGATCACACCACGGCACTCCATCCTGGGCAACGAGAGTGAAACTTCATCTCAATGTATGTATGTATGAATAAATAAATAAATATAATGAAAGTCAATCACTGGCCAAATGTGGGTGGCTCATATCTGTAAGCCCAGAATTTTGGAAGGCCAGGGCAGGTGGAGCATTCCAGGACAGGAGTCTGAGAGCAGCCTGGCCAATGTGGTGAAACCTCATCTCTACTACCTATGCAGAAATTCACTGGGCATCGTGGCAGGTGTCTGCAATCCCAGATTCTTGGAAGGCTGAGGCAGGCGGATCACCTAAGGTTAAGAGCTCAAGACCAGCCTGGCCAACAGGGTGAAACTCCAACTCTCTCATACAAAAATTAGATGGGCATGGTTGTTTGTGCCTGTAATCGCAGCTACATGGGCGGCTGAGGCAGGAGAACTGCTTAAACCCAGGAGGTGGAGGTTGCAGTGAGCTGAGATCACACCACTGCACTCCAGGATGGGCAACAGAGCAAAACTCCATCTCAAAACATAAGAAGAAGAAGAAAGAAAACATTTGCTATGGGGAGACCAGAAATGTGATCTGCTGGCAGTCCTTCCATTTTAGGAAATCTAAACAGTGTGAGTCCATCCTGTTTTGTCCCTCTCCACTTCAGAAACAAAACCAGTAACCGAATCCATTCCATTTCTTTCAAAAGACATCTAACAATTAAGAGATGATATGCATGGCTCCATACTCTAAAAGGAAACCTGATGTCCTGGGTATCACAGACAGTTGATGAATGCTTGTTCATTTGACTGGTGTAGACTTCAATAATAAACTGTTCAATGCACTATGCCAGATAAATATTGCATCTCAGAAGTAGAACAAATACTGTTATTTTAGTTCTGTCTACACATAAATGCAATATTTACACATATTTATAATGGGTTAATACAAACAAACGGAGTTAATTGTTCTAGCGAGTAATAGAATTTGGACAACGTGAATTCTCCTGTCCTGACACATAATCAGCAGTTAGAGGCATTTTATTTCACGTGAAAGGTACCATTATAAAACCAACGGTAAGCATTAAATAATTATTGCACACGATCTTCTCATCTGAGTTAATACTGAAGACCTACCTCCTGAAGCTGGTTTATCAAGTTGTAAATCTTCACGTGTAGAATTAGTAAGTTCATGTCTGGAAGGTGAGAATAAACATTTACTATTCACTATGCAATATTCAGCAAAGTATTATCCACTAGTACATATTTAACATTTAATCATCAAGGGTGGTTTTGAAAAGAAAAGACAGGCTGGGGGCGATGGCTCAGACCTGTAATCCCAACACTTTGAAAGACCGAGGCAGGCAGATCACGGGTTGAATGTTTGAGACCAGCCTGGCCAACATGGTGAAACCCCGTCTCTATTAAAAACACAACATTTAGCCTGGAGTGGTGGCAGGTGCCTGTAATCGCAGCTACTCAGGAGGCTGAGGCAGGAGAATTGCGTGAAGCCAGGAAGCAGAGGTTGCTGTGAGCCAAGATCATACCACTGCAATCCAGCCGGGGTGACAGAGCAAGACTCTGTCTCAGGAAAAAAAAAATTAAGAAAAGGTCATCTGAATGCTTGAGCACAACTAAATCTACAGAGTAACAAAACAAAATAACAATTGCAAATTGTCTCATCAGGTGCTTCATGGAGCATGTGTCCTCACAAGTAAAGTGGTAACTTGGCAACATACAGCTCTTTTGAAGCATACTCCAAATATCTTTAATTGGATTCTTTAATACCACATTGCATTCAAGGCTATCTCACGCTCAACATCTATAAACACAATCATATATTCCCTCATATGCTTTAAAAGTCTCAGGCCTAAAAACAAGACATGGATACTATTTTCTTCCATCTACCAAAGAAGGAAGGGAAGAGACAAAAGAGAGAGATAACCAGGTATGGTGGTTCATACCTGTAATCCCAGCAGTTTGGGAGGCCAAGGCAGGTGGATCACTTGGATCCAGGAGTTTGAAACCAGACTTGGCAACATAGTGAAACACTGTCTCTACTAAAAATACTAGAATTAGCTGAGTGTGGTGGCACGTCAAGGTAGTCCCAACTTCACAAGAGGCTGACATAAAAAGATCATGAGCGTCTGGGAGTTCGAGGCTGCAGTGAGCCATGATCACACCACTGCATTCCTGCCACGGCGACATGGTCAGATCTTGCCTCAAAAGAAGAAATGCTTTTGAAAATGTAGAAACTGGAACCCACATTCATTACTGGTGGGAACATAAAATGGTTGAACCACTTTGGGTGTTTCTTTTCTTGTCATTTTCATTTTATTTTTTTAAATAAAGACAGGGTCTTGCTATCTTGCCCAGACTGGTCTTTTTCAACTCATAGGCTCATGTGATCCTCACACCTCAGCCTCTCATGTGGCTGGGATTACAGATGTGAGTCACCACACCTGACTGGTAGAACAGCTTTGGAAAACAGTTTCTCAAAAGCCTGAATGTACACTATCATAGAATGCAACAATCTCTCTCCTAAGCATTTATCCCAGAGAAATAAAAATATATGTCCACACAAAATCCTGTACATGAATCTTCAGAGCAGTATTATTCATAATGGCCAATACATGAAAACAACCCAAATGTTCATCAACTGATGAACAGATAAATACAATGTGGTGTGACTCTACCATGGAGTATATTGTTCAGCCAAAGAAGGAAAGAAATACTGACACATGCCATGACATGAAGAAACTCTGTAAACATTGTGCTAGGGGCAGAAAAAAAAAAAAGCCAGCCACCAAAGATCCCCACGTACTGCACAATCCTATTTCTATAAAAGGTCCAGATTATGCAACTCTATAGTGACAGAAAACAGATCAGCGGTTGCCTATGGGAGCACAGGCGTATAGGGGGAGTAGGAACTGATGGCAAAGTAATGTAGATTTCTCTATAGGGTAATGAAAGCTTCTAAAATTGATTGTGGTGACAGATGCACAGCTCCATGAACACTCTAAGGACCACTGAACCGCATACTTTGATGAATCAATTGTAAGGTATGTTAACTATATTTCAATAAAGCTGTTATTTAAAATAAATAGGGGGCTGGGCACAGGTGGCTTGTACCTGCATATAATCCCAGAACTTTGGGAAGCTGAGGCAGGAGGATCACTTAAGGCCAGGAGTTAAAGACCATCCTGGGCGACACAGCATGATCCCATCTCTACAACAAAAAATAAAAACATTAGCTTTGCGTGGTGGTGTACATCTGTAGTCCCAGCTACTCAGGAGGCGAGGCAAGAGAATCAGTTGAACCTGAGAGGCAGAGGCTGCAGTGAGCCACTGCGCTCCAACCTGAACAACAGAGTGAGAATCTGCTTTAATAAAAAAAGTAAAAATGAATTTACTAATCCCTGCTCTGAAGCCACATCCAAACAGAACTCTAAAAAAAAACATTCAAGTAATTTACATGGTGCTATTTATATACAGATCTCCCATGTACCTCTGAATGTAACATTTAAATATTTTGCAACAGGATGGCTGGGAGTGGCTCAAACCTGTGCATGGTGGCGCATGGCCGTAGCCCTAGATACTACTTGCGAGACTGAGAAAGGAGGGTAACTTGAGCCCAGGAATTCTAGCCCAGCCCAGAAAACATAACACGACCCTGTTTCTTTAAAAAGAAAAGTCAGGGAGCTCACTAATAAATTACCTCGGTGCGATCAACAACTGCTATCACAACACTACCACAAATTCCAAAATGATATCTATTGCCAGACCTTTCTCCTTACTTCTGCACTCATTTACCAAACTGCCTCCTCCACCTCCACAACTCAACTTGAATGTCAACTTGAAATTGATTAATTTATTTATTTATGTGTTATTAGACTGGCTTTCCTCTAACATCTAAAGAGTTGTCTTAAATTCTTACTTCATGTTATTAGCATCAAATCTGAAGGGATCTAGTGTAGGAGCTCTCTGACGTAAGAAACACGTGTTTGTGAGAAATCACACAAAGTGAAATAATCATAGCTATAACAAGAAATACGCCCATAAATAAATAACAGTAAAAGGTTAGAAGCTTTCAGTCATACTAGAGAGTAATGTTAAATGAAATTATTCTGTTAATCCAACAAGAAAATATATAAACCTAATTCTGACAAACTTTCTATAAAATAAAAAAGAACCATTTGTTGGGGTTGAAAGTGAAAACTGGAAGTTTTAGAAAGAGGTCAGACCAACTGGAGAATGTGCTCATCACGCATCACCAAGGCTGTCCCAATCACACCCTCTGCCTCGTTATCCCCCCATTCCACTTAATTCTTTCCCAGACCATAACCCCTTCTCCATAGTAAATATGGACCATAACTCCATATTTACTATGGAGATATTTCCATAGTAAATATCTCCTACTTACTACATATTTCCCCAGCAGATTAAATGCTCCGGAATGCATGGGGCAGGGCACTGTCTTCCACACTGCCCAGTTTCCAACACCTGACTCACAGCTACCAAATCACTTCAGGATTATGAGGTTGGAAGTAGTGATTATTTCCTCAATACTTGCAGTGGTTCACAGCAATGAAAATCCTAAGATTTCCTTTCCCCTTTCGGGGACCATAAAGACGGCAGCAATACTATCAGAGGCATTTGAACCAGAGCAACTCCATCTACAATAGGAGCTGGGTAAAATGAGGCTGAGACCTACTGAGTTGCATTCTCAGGTAGCTAAGGCATTCTGAGTCACAGGCTGAGGAAGGAAGTCAGCACAAGATACAGTTCATAAAGACCTTGCTGATAAAATGGGTTGCAGTAAAGCGGCCAGCCAAAACCGAGATGGGGACGAGAGTGGCCTCTGGTTGTCCTCACTGCCACTACACTCCCACCAACACCATGACAGTTTACAAATGTCATGGCCACGTCTCAAAAAAGGAAGCATAAAAATAATCCATTCCTTGCCGGGCACGGTGGCTCACACCTGTAATCCCAGCACTCTGGGAGGTCAAGGTGAATGGCTGACCTTAGGTCAGGAGTTTCACAGCAGCCTGACCAACATGGTGGAACCCCCATCGCTACTGCAAATAGAAAATAAAATTATCTGGGTGTGGTGGTGCACACCTGTGATCCCACCTACTTGGGAGGCTGAGGCAGAAGAATCACTTGAGAACCTGCTTGAGAAGTAAACAAGACAGGCATGATCTGGGCTGTCAGAGCCACTGTGCTGAAGCAGGAGGAAAAAGTCAGCCAACAGCGCTCTGTGGAAAATGAAAGGCGGATGAGCCAGTGAGCCTCGAGGCTGAGGTGAGACAGTGCTAAGTGAAGACCTCTCCAACATGGTGATGTTTCAACTGTGATGCTAATAGAAAGGAGACGCACAGAAAGCCCTCAACTAACAGCAGTCCACAAACATCAGCCCTCAGCGCAACAGTGCCAGGAGGCTGTGACCTGAGAAGAAGAAAAGCACACAAATGACCAGAGTGGCTGGAACAGAGCAAGCAATCCACAGACCGCATGTGGGAAAAGCAGAGGAATGGCAGAGGGCAGCTCACCCATGCCCCTGCAGACCCAATCAGGGGCTGTGACGTTTACTCCAAGTACAGTGGAAGGCACTACATATGACAGTCCAGAGAATGACAGGCTCCACCTCCTACTTTCAATGAGCCTGACCTGGCTGCTCTGTGGCATGGCTCTAACAGCACTGGAGGGCAGTGGAGGAGGATGCAATAGAACCTGGGCTTTGTGTTTGGCTAGAGTCAGCAGGCCTTGCTAGGCTGGATACGGAAAGGGAGACAATCATACCTCAGAGTAACTCCTGGGCATCTATCTGGCTTGGGCAGCCGGTAGACCGAGAGGAGCTCATGGAGAGGGAAATGGGGACTTGGTCTGGGACACATGAAGCCTGAGGAGGGGTCAAGCAGATAGGTCAATATAGAGGTCTGGTATGAGGAGCATCTTCACGGCCAGGAATGAGAGTCTCAAAGACACACACAATATAATATTTTTAAGAGGAGGGCAGCGTGGGATTATCTGTAAGTAAGACACAGTAAGAAGAGAGAAAGAGGCTGGGAAAAGTGGCTCATGCCTGTAATGTGAGCACATGGGGAGGCCAAGGAAGGCAGATCACGAGGTCAGGAGTTCGAGAACACCCTGGCCAACATGGTGAAACCCCATCTCTACTAAATACATAGAAAAATTAGCCAGGCATAGTGGCAGACATCTGTAATCCCAGCTACTCAGGAGGCTGAGGCAGGAGAATCACTTGAATCAGGGAGGAAGATGTTGCAGTGAGCCAAGACTACACCACTGCACTCCAGCCTGGGTGACAAGAGAAAGATTCTATCAGAAAAGAAAAAAAGAGAAAGAAAGCAAAAAAGAAAGAAAAGGAAAGAAAGAAAAAAGAAAGAAAAAAGGAAAGAAAGAATAAAAAAAGAAAGAAAGAAAGAAAGAAAGAAAAAGAGAAAGAAAGAAAAGAAAAAGAAAGAGCAAGCTAGCTCAGGATGAATTTGCTGGCTGGCACTCTCTGGTCTAGAGAGGATGAGGGCAGGGGCCTTGAGAGACTGAAAATGAGACAGAGAGAGCCAAGGAAGAGTCCACATAATTAGAACATTTCATAAAAAATGGGGGGCAGAGAACAATAACCTAGAATTCTGTTGAGAAGCAGAATGAAAATGGGGCCGAGAGCAACTCTGGGTGGCAAAAGGTCTTAAGTGAAAAATTAAAACTAAGTATTTTGAAGTGCTGATGAATTATTTAAGGAACAAGATAGAAAAGACAGGTTGGTTGAGGTTGTACCTTCAAATGCCCAGTGGTGGCTACTGCCAAAGCTCTCTCCCTTAGTACAGAGTGGCACCCAGGCACAGGTAAAGCCCAAAGAAAAGAGGCTTCCCAATGGTGTCAATCCTCCTGCAGAAAACCTTTGACTCTACAGAAACATTGACTCAGTAAGAAGCATATGTGCTTCCATTACCCGACTCTCTCCTCTTACATAGGATTAAAATTTCCATAATCCATGCATATTAAAAACTGTAGGATGGCCAGGCATGGTGGCTCACATCTGTAATCCCAGCAATTTGGGACGCTAAGGCAGCTGAACCACCTGAGGCCAGGAGTTTGAGACCAGCCTGACCAACAAGGCAAAGCCCTGTCTCTACTGAAAATATAAAAATAGCCAACTGTGGTGGTCATGCCTATAATCCCAGCTAGTCGGGAGGCTGAGGCAGGAGAATCACTTCAAACTGGGAGGCAGAGGTTGCAGTGAACTGAGATCCCCCCATTGCACTCCAGCCTGGGTGACCGAATGAGACTCCATCTAAATTTAAAAAAAAACAAAAGTAAGAGAGTCCAGGTGTAGTGGCTCATGCCTTTAATCCCAGCATGTTGAGAAGAGGGGGAATCAACTCAGGTCAGGAGTTTCAGGCTACCCTGGCCAGAATGATGAAACCCCATCTCCACTGAAAATACAAATATTGGCCAGGCATGGTGGCAGGTGCCTACAATCCCAGCTATTTGAAAAGCTGAGGCAAGACAAACGCTTGAACCTAGGAGGTGAAGGTTGCAGTGAGCCAAAACAGTGCCACTCTGCAGTCCAGCCTCAGCAACAACACTGGAACTCCATCACCAAAAAAAAAAAAAAGAAAAGAAAAAAAACACCAGTAAGCAAAAGACTGAGCTGAGTCCTACTCATTGTATTTACTTTCCTAAGATAAAACATGAAAAACATTACCACCGGGTGTGGTGGCTCACATCTGTAATGCCAGCACTTTGGGAGGCCAAAACATGGTAATCACAGAATGAGGAGTTCAAGACAAGCCTGGCCAACATGGTGAAATCCATCTCTACTAAAAAAATATAAAAATTAGCCATACATGGTGGTGTGTGCATGTAATCTCAGCTACTCGGGAGAGTGAGGCATGAGAATTACTTGAACCTGGGAGGCGGATGTGGCAGAGAGCCACTGTACTCCAGCCTGGGTGACAGAGCAAGACTCCATATAAAGAAAACAAAACAAAACAAAAGACATCACTCAGTAATATACTTTGAAGGAGGAAAAAGAGGCTTACCAAATTTTTTGCAGAAAAGCTGATCCACTGTCTTTCTTCATTTGGTGATTCTGGCACACTGTTCTTCCTTTGCTGTCGAAACACAAAAATACACGTTTTCCAAATGAAATGGGTTCACTAATTTGGGTTGTTAAATATTGTTATTATCATTATATTTTTTTAAGATAGGGTTTCACCATGTTGGTCAGGCTGGTCTTGAACTCCCGACCTCAGGTGATCCACCCACCTTGGCCTTCAAAGTGCTTGATTACAGGTGTGAGCCACCATGCCCAGCCTAAATATTATTACTATAAAATAGGCAGTATTTTTCCGTTCCTGTGACTAATATTATTTCTAAGATTCCAGAATGTACTTACTACTGAAACAGTGATAACACTGAACAGAAAAAGGAAGAACCAGACATTCATTAAAGCTGGAAAAAAGCAGAACTCGGTGTGCTCAAGAACAGCTAGCAGGCCAGGCACAGTGGCTCACGCCTGTAATCCCAGCACTTTGGGAGGCCGAAGCAGACAGATCACCTGAGGTCAGGAGTTCAGGAGCAGCCTGGCCAACATGGTGAAACCCCATCTCTACTACAAATACAAAAATTAGGCAGCCATGGTGGCAGGTGCCAGGAATCCCAGCCACTTGAAACATGAAGTAGGAAGATTTGCTTGAACCCAGAAGGTGGGAGGATACAGCAAGCTGAGATCATGCCGCTGCACTCCAGCATGGGGAACCCAGCAAAATTCCATCTCAATAAACAGACAGACAGACAGACAGACAGACAGCTAGCAGGCGACATTTGCTATGGGGAGACTAGGGACATATCTTGCTGGCAATCTAAAATTTAGATTTTAGTAAATCTAAACAGTTTAATTCCATTCTGTTTTGTCCCCATACCACGCCAGAGCCAAAACTAGTGAGAAAATCAATTCAATTTCTTTGAAAATGCATCTAACAATGAAGACATGATATGTATGGCTCCACACTCTGAAAGGAAACCTTCTTATGTTCTGGGTATCGTGAGGATTTGACGAATGCTTCCTCAGTTGACTGGCATAGACTGAGAACAATAAACTGATGTACTGTGCCAAATAAATCTTACATCTGACAAGTAGGACAAAGATTGTTGTTTTACTTCTGTCTACCCATTTATCCACTATCTACACATATTTATAATGGGTTAATACAAAGAAAATGAGTTGACTGTTTTAGAGAGTATTGGAATTTTGACAACATGAATTCTCTTATCCTGGAAAATAATTAATAGTTAGAGACGTATTATTTCAGGTGGAAGCTACCATTAATGAAATCAATGTTAATCATTAAATAATTATTGCACATAATCCTCTCATCTGACTTAAGACTGAAGACATACCTCCTGAAACTGGTGTATCAAGCTGTAAATCTTCAGTTATTGAATTCATAAGTTCATGTCTGAAAGGTGAGAATATTTAATATTCACTAAGCAATATTTAGCAAAGGAATATCCATTAGTACCTATTTAATCACCAGGGGTGGTTTTAAAATGAAAAGACAGGCTGGGCACAGTAACTCCTGCCTATAATCCCAACACTTTGGAAAGCTGAGGCAGACAGATCACAAGGTCAAAAGTTTGAGACCAACCAGGCCAACATGGTAAAACCCATCTCTACTAAAAACACACAGCTTAGCTGGGCATGGTGGCAGGCACATGGAATCACAGCTACTCGAGAGGCTGAGCTGGAGAACTGCTTGCACCCAAGACGGGGAGGTTGCAGTGAGCTGAGATCACATCACAGCACTACGGCCTGGGTGACAGAGCAAGACTCCCTTTCATAAAAAGAATTAAGAAAAGACAATCTGAATGCCTGAGCACAACTAAATCTTCAGTTGAGGTTTCTACAGAGTAACAAAAAAAAAAATTGCAAATTGCCTCAGAAGTTGCTTCATGGAGGATGTGTCCTCACAAGTAAAGTGGTAACTTGGCAACACGCAGCTCTTTGAAGTATACTACAAAAATCTCAAGTGGGATACTTTAATATTGCATTGCATTCAAGACCGTTTTCCTCTACATATCTACAAAAAAAATCATATAGTCCCATATATGCTTTAAAAATCTCAGGCCTAAAAGCAAGACATGGGTACTATTTTCTTAAGCAAAAGTAGCACAACATTGTAAACGAAAATGTAAGTTGCAGCCAGCCAGGTGTGGGCGATGTTCATGTTTCAAAAGCTAATACTGGCATGACTGACTCAAGGCTGGACCCAGATAAATGAAAAAGGGGAAGATAAAAAATACAGAAAATAGGCTGGGCACAGAGGCTCATGCCTGTAACCCCAGCACTTTGGAAGGCCAAGGAAGGCGTATCACAAGGTCAGGATTTTGAGGCCAGCCTGGCCCATATGGAGACTGAGGCAGGAGAACTGCTCGAACCCAAGGCAGAGGTTGAAGTGAGCCGAGATCATGCCACTACACTCCAGCCAAGGCAACAAGAGTGAAAACTCTGTCTCACAAAGGAAAAAACATTCCTTTGGGAAGTCCTTCGACATAAAGATCTTCAACGTGAGACTGGCGAAAAGGGTATAGGATCATCAACAGACCATTGGCTTTGACTGCTTGAGCTATAAGGACAAAAAGAAAGAGGGAGATCATTTAAACACAATCTGTATTGCTCTTTAACTTTTTATTTTTCAGATGGAGTCTCGCTCTGTCACCAGGCTGAAGGGAAGTGGCACAATCTCAGCTCACTGCAACCTCCGTGTCCCAGGTTCAAGTGATTCTCCTGCCTAAGCCTCCTACGTAGCTGGGACTACATGTGCCCGCCACCATACTCAGCTAATTTTTATACTTTTAGTAGAGACGAAATTTCATCACGTTTGCCAGGATGGCCTCGATCTCCCGACCTTGTGATCCAACCTCCTTGGCCTCCCAAAGTGCTGGGATTACAGGCAGGAGCCACTGAGCCAGGCATTGCTCTTTAACTTTTATAATTTGATGTTTACTTCTGTTATTGTAATTCAGTCCAAAGAAAAATAGTGTGAGGAAAATAAAAATGACACCAAGAATGCTAATATTCTGTTCATCAAAGGTTGCAGGAAATATCCCACTACAGTCAGGCAGGGTGACTTACCTCTGTAATCCTAGCACTTGGGAGGCCAAGGCAGGTGAATCGCCTGAGGTCAGGAATTGGAGACCAGGCTGGCCAACATGGCAAAACCACATCTCTTGAAAAACATAAAAATTAGCCAGTTTTGGTGGTGAGTGCTTGCAATCTTAGCTACTTGGGAAGCTGAGATAGGAGAATCACCCAAACCCAGGAGGCAGAGGTTGCAGTGAGCTAAGATCACCCCATTGCACTCTAGCATGGGTGTCAAGAGCAAAACTCCAGCTCAAAAAGAAAAGAAAAGATAGGTAGATCCCACTACTTTAAGACAATGTAGATACAGTCAGACTTTCTACAGAAATCTGAACCACATTATAAAGTGAGAAAAGCATACCAGCTAGTATTATTTAATACATATAGTATGGAATGGGAGAGGTAGTATTTTCAAAACATAAACATTAGTGTAACCTTATTGGACTTATAAAAACAATTTTTTTAAATAACAGAAACAGAAGATTCCATGAACTGCAACTTTTAAGCTGGCATTTATTTACTCAAGATTCAACTAATAGAACAGCTTTAAAAAGTCAAGAGCTGGGCCGGGCATGGTGGCTCACACCTGTAATCCCCACATCTTGGGAAGCTGAGTCAGGCAAATCACCTGAGGTACACTGTTCCAGACTAGCCTGACTAACATGAAAAAAACCCCATCTCTAATGAAACATAAAATTAACTGTGGCATATGCCTGTAATCCCAGCTAGTCTGGAGGCTGAGACAGAAGAAAAGCTTGAACCCAGGGAGTTGCAGAGGTTGCAGTGAGTCGAGATTGAGCTATTGCCCTACAGCCAGGGCAACAAGAGCAAAACTCCATCTCAAAAAAAAGTCAAGATTTAGCCAGGTGGGAGTGGCTCACACCTGTAACCCCGGCACTGTGGGAGGCCAAGGTGGGTGGATCACCTGAGGTCAGGAGTTTGAGACTAGCCTGGCCAACATGGTGAAACCCCATCTCTACTAGAAACACAAAAATTAGCTGGGCATGGTGGCACTCACCTGTAGTCCTAGCTACTAGAAAGGCTGAGGCAAGAGGATAAATTCAACTTGAGAAGTGGAGGTTTCGGTCAGCCCAGATCACACTGCTGCACTCCAGCCTGAGTGAAAGAGCAAGACTCTGTTTCAAAGAAAAAAAAAAGTCAGGAGCATGAGGAATATTAAAATCAAACATAAACAATAGTCTCCCATCAAAACAGCTCCGTTTATTTGCTATCAGTATGTGTTAAGGTCTATCTGCTAAACACTGATATTTGTACTAGCGTTTCAAGTGCACATTCGTGCTTAGATTTAATATCCTTTGCTGTACACTAAACTTGAATATCATACTTTCATATTACAGAGAAAGTATCTTTCCCTAAGGCAATCACCATTAATATTGCTTTAAAATTATAAAACGTGAAGACTGTTTTTATAGTTTCACAACAGCTGAACATTGTTTTAAACAAATTAGTTTTAAACAAAATCTTATTTTTTGAGGTTATTTTGTTTTAAGATTATTTTAAAGAGAACAATCTAATAAACGACCATCACAACAAAAGCCCCACAACATAATCAGTTGCACCTTATAAAAACAAAACACTGACATTTATAACAATTGTCATTCAATATATAAAACAGTGAATTCCTAAAACTTTAATAGCAAATGATTTTAACTCAGAGTAGTACTAAATTAACAATATCATAAAAACATAAGCTGGGTGTAGTGGCTCACACCTGAAATTCCAGCACTTTGGGAGGCCAAGCCGGGTGGATCACTTGAGGTCAGGAGTTCAAGACCAGTCTGGCCAGCAAGGTGAAACCCTATCTCTACTAAAAATACACAAGTTAGCTGAGCATGGTTGTGCACGCCTACGAACCCCACTACTTGGGAGGCTGAGGCAGGAGAATTGCTTGAAACTGTGAGGCAGAGGTTGCAGTGAGCCAAGATCTCATGCCACTGCACTCCAGTCTGTGCAACAGAGCAAGATTCTGTCTCAAAAAATAAGTAAGTAAATACAAACATAAGGAAGATGCATTTATTATGTATCTATATACCCGGTGTTATGTGAAGCACTGTAGCATGTTATCAAATCTTCCAGATAGATCTTCAGTTCTCACGACCACTAAAGAGCAGACTAAGCCTCAGACAGGATAAGAGACTTGGCCAAGCTGACCTCGTGATCTGCCCACCTTGGCCTCCCAAAGTGCGGGGATTACAGGCATGAGCCACCATGCCTGACCAAATACTGAATTTAACAAAGCAGATAAAGAGAAACCATTAGTTTAAAAATAAACAATATTAATTAAATCCCTAAGATCCAGGGCTTTGCAATAAATATGTAAATGAATCCCCAATATCCATGCTGAAAGTTTGAAAGAAATGCTGACTGATAATTTAAGAGATACAACTTTTCCTTAGCTTTGCAGTAACCTAGAAAGATAGAATGTTCCTAATGCTTGGACAGACACTACAAGATGAACACTGACTCCATTGTGTAAACTCTCATGAACAAAGTATTACAGGACTTTTCCAGTTTAGACATACCATATTTTCTTTCAGAAAGTTCTTCAACATCCCATATTTTCTTTTGGATAGTTCTTCAATGTGTTTATGTAGATTGGTGATACCATCACTGCATTTCTCTGAAAATTGAACAAAGGTTGATTGTCAATAATTTCAGAGCAACATTAACGTATGATGACTTATTTCCTATATTTTATATCTCAACAGTCCATATCATTTTTCTGCTTTTGAAAAGATTTTTCCCTTTTTTGATGGTTCTTATAATTAGTTTAATTAGACTGTGAGAAAAGTTTTAAAGTTTAGTATCTCTTTTTATCCTTTTAATTTCTGAAGAGAAGGAGGGCAGAAAAGAACAATCAAATTAAATAAGACAACAAGGAGGCCACAATGAGAATGTCTCCAGGGGTCTTTTGGCAAACTTCCTAAAACATGTCTCAGCTGTGTGGAAATAAGACTTTACAGCAACCAGTGAGGTGATGCAGGTTTGTAATCCTAGCACTTAGGGAGCAGAGGTAAGTGGATCGCCTTGAGCTGAGGGCAACATAGCAGAAACTTCCGTCCTCTCCCCCACCTTCCACTACCCCCTCCATGTCCCCATCTCCTCCAAAAATACAAAACTTAGCCAGACATGGTGGCAGGTACCTGTAGTCCCAGCTACTCAGGAGGTTGAGGTAGAAGAATCACTTGAACCCAGGAGACAAATGTTGCAGGGAATGAAGACTGCAGCCAGCCTGTGCAAAAGAGCAAGACTCCATCTCAAAAAAGAAGAAAAAAAACAAGTTTCAGAGAAACCCCAAAGCAAAAATCCCAACCCTTTTCCTTCCAATCACTGAAACACCAGGAAGGTCTAATAGTTTTGCAGCATACCTGTAATAGGCTGAGAGTGACCCCCCAAGATGCTCATAACCTAATCCCAGGAACCGATGAAGAGGACTTCGTATGGTAAAAGGGGCTTTGCAAATATAATGAAGTTCAGGACTATTGGCCAGGAAGATTATTCTGGCTTGTCACAGTGGGGTTGATGTACTCACCCAGATCCTTATCAGAACAGAGCAGGTGATGGAGAGCAACGGGAAGTGTAGTGTTGGAAGCAGGAACCTCGAGTCATTCAAGAAGGGCAGCACAAGCTGAGGACTGCAGGAAGCCTCTGGGGCCAGGAAACTCATTCTCCTACAGAGCCTGGGAAGGTGCCTGCCCTGCTCCCACCTTGAGTCAGTGGGACTGACTTTAGAATTCTGGCCTTCAGAACTGTAAGGGAATACATCTGTGTTGGTTCGGGTTTTTTTTGTTTTTTGTTTTTTTTTAGATGCAGCTCCGCTCTTTTTACCCAGGTTGGAGTGTGACGGCATGATCTCGGCTCACTGCAACCTCCGCCTTCCAGGTTGAAGCAATTCTCCTGCCTCAGCCTCCTGAGTAGCTGGGATTACAGGCATGCACTACCAGACCCAGCTATTTATGTATTTTTGGTAGGGATGGAGTTTCTCCATGTTGGTCAGGCTGGTCTCGAACTCCCGACCTCAGGTGATCCACCCGCCTCAGCCTCCCAAAGTGTTGGATTACAGGCATAAGCCACCATGCCCAGATATATCTACATTGCTTTAAGCTCTAAGTGTGTGTGGTAATTTGTTGCAGCAGAAACAGGAAACTAGTATCGTAGTGAAGCCTCAAAACCCACCTCAAGGGGCTGGGTACAGTGGTTCATGTCTGTAATCCCAGCATTTTGGGAGGTCAAAGTGGGCAGATCACTTGAGGTCAGAAGTTTGAGACCAGCCTGGTCAACATGGTGAAACCCTGTCTCTGCAAAAAAAAAAAAAAAAAAAAAAAAAAAGACTAGCTGGTGTGGTGGCACATGTCTGTAATCTCAGCTATTTAGGAGGCTAAGACATGGGAACTGTTTGAACCTGAAGAGGGGGAGGCGGAGGTTGTAGTGAGCCAAGATTGTGCCACTGCATTCCAGCCTGGGTGAGAGAGCCAGACTCAATCTCAAAACAAACAAACAACCCCACCTGAAGAAAGTTTCCAGTTTGGTCAGCGGTCCCCCACCCAATGCCCAGAAGTAGACCTTTCCTCTTTACGGTTTTTTTTTGGAGATGGAGTCTCACTCTGTTGCCCAAGCTAGAGTGCAGTGGCATGATCTTGGCTCACTGCAACCTCTGCCTGCCTGGATCAAGCCATTCTTCTGTCTCAGCCTCTTGAGTAGCTGGGATTAGAGGCAAGCACCACCACACCTGGCTAATTTGTGTGTTTTGAGTAGAGTCAGGTTTTGCCATGTTGCCCAGGCTCTACTCAAACTCCTGGCCTCAAGTGATCCACCTGTCTCAGCTTCCCAACGTGCTGGGATTACAGATGTGAGCTATGGCACTCAGCACTCACCAAGGCCTTTGACAGCATGCTTCTCCAGGTGATCAGTCCTCGTCTGGTCTGGCTCTGCCACACTCTCCACCACACCAAGTTGGAATCCTTAGCTACTTTTCAGAAGAGGAGGGTGTGTACTTTAATCCCGGCTTGGTATGGTTCAGATCTGCATTTAACTCATGGAACCTGGTTGCTTCCCAGGCCCCGGAGAAAAAAAGGGTCTCTCTGTGGGTATGATACAGGATGAGCCAAGACCATGCCACTGCACTCCAGCCTGGGCTACAACAGTAAGACTCCATCTCAAGAAAACAAAAACAAAAACAAAAAAACAGACTCCATCTAAAAGAAAAACAAAGACAAAACAAAAACAAATGTGGCATGGCAAAGAAAATAATTACTGTGCTAAACACAGTTTCATGGAAAACAAAAGACAATAAAATAAGCTGTCTTTTTAGATTAGTATAATTGTTATTCTTAGTTTACAGCTAAACAAATGAGCTCGGGGCAAGTGTGGTGGCTCACACCTGTAATCACAGCATTGTGAGAGGCTAAGGCAGGTGGATCATGAAGTCAAGAGATCAAGACGATCCCTGCCAAAATGGTGAAACCCCATCTCTACTAAAAATACAAAAATTAGCTGGATGTGATGGCAGGTGCCTGTAGTCCGAGGTACTCAGGAGGCTGAGGCAGGCGAATCGCTTGAACCCGAGAGGTGGAGGTTGCAGTGATCCAAGATGACACCACTGCAAAAGAGCAAGACCACGTCTCTAAAAAATAAAAAATAAATAAGGAAAAGAGAAACCAGCTCAGGGAATGTTATTTGATTGGACCATGTTGCATCTCTGGACAGTGAAGCTGAGAGCAGACTTCATGTGTAACTCCCCTAGCCTACCAGGGTGCCTCTCATAAAAAGAAGACATCTAAATTTGGCCTAATATACAAAGATGCTGGAACGGTCAATTCTACATACAGTACTTCCATGTTCATCAAGGGAAACCTTAAGGGAAGGGAAGGTGAAAATGCTTCTAGAAGGCACTGGACACCAGTGCCCTTGCTTGTTGCCTTTCCGCTCTTCCTCCAAGGGTAACAGTCACCTGAAACTACTGACTGATCCAATCAATGGGAGAAAATGGTACCAAGGTCACCATCAGGCAAATTCACTTGAGGACCTATGTGTGTGCTCTGACAGACTAAAACTGCTTTTGTAAAGGATACTGAACTTCAGAAAAACATAATCACATTAACAAGTAATAACTCGGTAAAATGCTGTTGCATTGAATGCTACTTTAGAAAAATATGCTCAAATGTAGGGAAAAAACTGTGATAGAAAACTACGTATCAATTATCTAGCTAGCAATCTAGAGACACGGTCTCATTCTTTTGCTCAGGATGGCATGCTGTGGGATGATCCTACTCACTACAGACCTCTCCTGGCCTCAGGTCATCCTCCTGCCTCAGCATCCTAAGTGGCGGGGGACACAAGTGGACACAGTACACCTACCTTTTTTACTTGCTTGTTTTGTAGGGTCAGGGCTTCACTACATTGCCCAGGCTGGTCTCAAACTCTGGAGTCTCGCTCTGTCAACCAGGCTAGGGTTCGGTGATGTCATCTCGACTAACCGCAACCCCTGCCTCCTGGGTTTAAGCAATTCTCCCATCTCAGCCTCCCGGGTAGCTGGGACTACAGGCATGTGCCACCACATGTGGCTAGTTTTTGTAGAAACCGGGTTTCATCAGGTCGGCTACACTGGTCTTGAACTCCTGATGTCAGGTGATCCACCTGCCTTGGCCTCCCAAAGTGCTGGAATTATGGGTGTCAGCCAGGAAGCCGGGCCCCGGACTTTGGTATTAAATAGCCTAACCCAAGTGGGGCGCCGCGGCTCACACCTTTAATCCCAACAACTCTGAAGGCCAAGGTGAGAAGATGGCTTGTACTCAGTAGTTGGAGACCGGCCTGGCAAAATGGGAGCATCTGCCCCCTCCATCTCCACAAAAAAATACAAAATGTTAGGCCAGGCCTGCGCTGTGCCTGACTCATTTTTGTATCTTTTTGTAGAGACGGGGTTTTGTCCTGTTGCTCCCACCTCGGCCTCCCAAAGCGCTGGTATTACGGGCCCAGGCAGCCTGTGTTTCTTTAAGCAGCCCCCCAATGGGGCACGCCTGGATAGTTTTCTTTTTTATTTTTTTAAGACAGGGTTTACCTCAGTCTTGCAGCCTGGAGTGCTGTGGGAGAATCACAGCTCATCGCAGCCTTGAACCCTGGGGTTCAATAGGTGGGAGGCTGAGGTGTGACTACAGAAATGGGGTCCCCCCGGTTTGCCAGGCTGCTCCTGAGCTCCTGGCCTGAAGGAAACTTCCCACCTCCCCAGGGTCCGGACGCATTTTCTCTATCTTTAACCCACAGAAACACGGTGCTGGGTCGGCGTCTGTTACCTCCCCTTCTCCAGCGAGCAGCACACAGGATGCAGCGGGAGGTGGAGGTGACCAGGCTCTGCCCTGCGGAGAGGACAACCCAGCTCCTACCTCCGCGTGAGGTCGCCAAGGTCCGCCTCTGTGACGTCGCGGGAGGCCCATCTCTGTGCGCCGGAGGAGCCCCGCCTGACGTTCCTGGAGGCAAGTCGCCGTGACATCGCGGGAGGCCCGTATGTGCGCCGGACGCCCGTCGCCGTGACGTCACTGGAGGCCCGTCTGTGCGCCTCAGGCCCGTCGCCATGACGTCGTGAGAGGCCCGTCTGTGCGCCGGAGGAACGCCGCCTGACGTTCCTGGAGGCACGTAGCCCGTGACATCCCGGGAGGCCCGTATGTGCGCCAGACGCCCGTCGCCGTGACGTCACTGGAGGCCCGTCTGTGCGCCGCAGGCCCGTCGCCATGACGTCGTGAGAGGCCCGTCTGTGCGCCGGAGGAGCGCCGCCTGACGTTCCTGGAGGCACGTAGCCCGTGACATCCCGGGAGGCCCGTATGTGCGCCAGACGCCCGTCGCGGTGACGTCACTCGAGGCCCATCTCTATGCGCCGGAGGAGCGCCGCCGTGACGTCGTGAGAGGCCCGTCTGTGCGCCGGAGGCAGGTCGCCGTGAAGTTTTCAGAGGTCGGCCCCTCACGCGGAGCCAATAGGAAGTAGCGGCGGTGCTGCTGGGTCTTCTAGGAGCGCTCATGCTCCTAGAAGCCATTGATGGAAGCCGTTGCAGAGCGGGCACTTACGCGGACACAGGCTCCCGACTTGCTGCCCTCACCCAGAAGCTCCAAAGAGGAGTTTTGTTTTGTTTTTTTTGAGACAGAGTTTCGCTTGTTAACGCAGGCTGGAGTGCAGTGGCAAGATCTCGGCTTACTGCAACCTCCGCCTCCTGGGTTCAGGTAATTCTCCTGCCTCAGCCTCCTGTGTAGCTGGGATTACAGGCGCGCGCCACCACGCCCAGCTAATTTTTTGTATTTTTAGTATTTTTGTGTTTTCCTTATCGAGTTGTTTCTATGTTCTTATCAAAGTTCTTTATATATTCTCAGAACAAGTTCCTTACCACACAGATGACTTTTCAGATGTTTTCTCTGATGTTCTGAGTTGTCCTTTTACTTTCTTGATGGCGGCCTTTGAAACACAGAAGTTTTTAATTTTGGTGAAGTCGTTTGTCCATTTGTTTTTTTGTCACTTTTCATTTTGGTGTCTTGTCTAGGAAACTGTTCAAATCCAAGGTTACAGTTTCTTACCCCCGCATCTGCAGATTCCATCAAAAGCTTGCAAATATTTATTCCTATATTTTCTCCTAAAAGTTGTACGGTTTTAGCTCCTGTATCTAAGACCTTTGATCCATTTTGAGGTCATGTTCACATATGGTGTGAGATAGGTCCAGCTCCATTCTGTTGCATGTGGATATTCAACTGTCCCAGCACCATTTGTTAAAGACTGTTCATTCCCCCGTGGAACTGCACTGACACTTGTTGACTGTGAATGTGTGAGTTTATTTCTGGGTTCTCAGTTGTTTCATTGATCTTTGTGCTATCCTTACAGCAGCGCCACACTGTTTTGATTGCCATGGCTTTGTGGTGAGTTTTGAAATCAGGAGGTATTCTCTTTCAAGATTGTTTGGGCTGTTTCGGGTATCGTGAGCTTCCATTATGCTTTTTGGAATCAGCTGGTGGGTTTCTGTGACGAAGCCAGCTGAGGCCCTGATGGGGATCGTGCTGAGCCTGTCTGTGAACCCATCGGTGTGACACCATCTTGATGCCTTCTCAGCCATGCACACGGGATGCCCTTTCATGCACCAGGATCTTTCCTTCAACATACTTGGTCCGCTCAGGGGCTGTACCCCTTTCATGCTTCTCTGGATGCTATTGTAGACGGAATTGTTCTTTTAACTTTCTTTTAGTATCGTTCGTTGCTTTTACATAGAAACAAAATGGATTTTTATGTGTGGATTTTGTCTATGCAGCCTTGCTCAACTCACTTTAGTTTGAATTGCTTTGTAGATCATGTCACCAGCACCAACCAGCACAGAGATAGTTTTACTTCTTTCTTAACAATCTTTCTTTTTTGGGGGGGGGTCAGAGTCTTGCTCTGTCACCAGGCTGGAGTGCAGTGGCACGATCTTGGCTCACTCCAACCTTTGCCTCCTGGGTTCAAGCGATTCTCCTGCCTCAGCCTCCTGAGTAGCTGGGACTACAGGCGCGTGCCACCACACCTGGCTAATTTTTGTATTTTTAGTAGAGACGGGATTTCACCATGTTGGTCAGGATGGTCTTGATCTCTTGACCTCATGATCTGCCCACCTCGGTCTCCCAGGGTGCTGGGATTACAGGCATGAGCCACTGTTTCTGGCCTTTTTTTTTTTTCCTGAACTGGAGTCTTGCTCTGTTGCCCAGGCTGGAGTGCAGTGGCACAGACTTGGCTTACTACAACCTCTGTCTCCCTGGTTCAAGCAATTCTCCTGCCTCAGCCTCCTGAATACCTGAGATTACCAGGCACATGCCACAATACCCAGCTAATTTTTTGGTATTTTTAATAGAGACAGGGTTTCACCATGTTGGTCAGGCTGGTCTTGAACTCCTGACCTCAGGTGATCCACCTGCCTTGGCCTCCCAAAGGGCTACAACCAATCTTGGTTCTTTTTATTTCATGTTCTTGTACTGACTGCACCCTGCAGCTCTCCGTGGCGCGTGAGAGGTGAGAGTACACGTCGTTTATGCGCGGTGGCTTAGAGAGTGCATCCAGCCTTTCACTGTTGAGGGCCGTGCTGAGTATGGTTTTCCCTAGATGCTCTTGGTCAGGTTGAGATGTTCCTTTCTGTTCTGAGGTTGTTGGGTATTTTTCATTATGAAAGGGCGTTGGATTTTGTTGAATTGGACGTGTTGAGATAATCCTGTGTTTTGGTTTTTTTATTTTATTGATGTGGTGTGTTATAGTAATTGAGTTTTGGTGTTGAATCAACCTTGCATCCCTGCGATAAATCTTACTTTTTCGTGGCTTATGATCGTCTTTATACATTGCTGGATTCAGTTGCCAGTATTTTGTTGAGGGTTTTTGTGTTTGTGTACATGAGCGATGTTGTGGGTTCCTGCGGTGGTTCATGCAGCACTTTGGGAGGCCGAGGTGGGTGGATCACTTGAGGTCAACAGTTTGAGACCAGCCTGGGACAACTAGGTAAAACCCTGTCTCTACTGAAAATACAGAAATTACCCAGGCGTGGTGGTGCGCACCTGTAGTCCTAGCTACTCGGGAGGCTGAGGCAGGAGAATCACTTGAACCTGGGAGGCAGAGGTTGCAGTGAGCTGAGATTGTACCACTGCACTCCAGCCTGGGTGACAGAGCAAGGCTCTGTCTCATAAAGAAAAAGAGAGAGAGAGAGAGATTGAACATTGTAATAATGGTCACTTATGGTTTTGTTGGCCCTTTTATAAAAAAATTGAGGTAATTTATAAAACATAAAATACACCTACTTTAAAGTTTATAATTCATTGATTTTTAGTGTGTCCACAGTCACGCAGCTTTTGACTCCAAGTCATTCTGTCATCCCCATTAGCAGTCACTCTCCCACCGTCCCTCTCCCTGGCTCCTGGCCCCCACGAGCCCCTTTCTGTCTGTGGATTGGTCTGTTCGGACCGTTCTGTATCAGTGGACCCCCTGCCGTGGCCGTTGGTGTCTGGCTTCCCGTGCAGCGCGTGCTGTTCTTGAGCTTCGTCCAGTTGCAGCATGGGTCAGGACAGAGGCCTGTGTGTGGGCGGTTTTCAGTGTCACGGGATGCATGTCCTGCCTGGGGCGAGACAGCCTTCACCCTGCAAGCGATCCTGGGTGGGAGGTGGCACCGGTGGCAGCCCACGTGTGTGCTGCACCCAGTGCCCTCCAGCCCTCAGAGGTGGAGACAAAGCGCCTTCCCTGCTCACCGAACGGGCTCTGACCAGCGCTTGCTCTTGGCTGCCACCCTGTGATGTCCAGCAGCAGGACTTGGACCAGCTGAGCTAACCCTGCTTCTCTTCCTTCGCAGGCCTCCTCGCTGGGGAGGCAGAGCCCTCGCGTGGTCTCCTGCCTTGCACACAGCCTGTGCCCCGGGGCTTGCAGACAACAGCAGGTACCTTCCTCCCTCCTCCCCCCACCCAGGTCTGCCAAGCCCTTTGTGGCTGTGAGAGACAGAATGCCCGCCGGGCCTGGCTGAGCTGTGACCAGCACCCTGGCTTCCAGAGTCCAGGGTGTTCCAGCTCCCACCCGATCAGATGGAGCTGTGGGGAGCATGGTCAGGACTCCATCTTCCTGTTCTCTAGCAGAGGCAGGGAGCCCAAGCCACCCAAGACCATCCTCAGAGCCCGGACCCCCAGCAGAGGACCCAGGCACAGGCCTGCACCAAGCTGAGGGCCACCTCATCTTGCTGGGGTGCTGGGAAGGGGGACTTGCTGAAGGATGGGGGCTGGAGAAGGCGGGGTGGGGGAGACAGGCAGAACCTGGTTCCCTGCACCTCCCTGCGCCGATGCTGCTTGCCGGAGGGGCATTGAGGTTCCAGGCCACCTGCTGGCCACCTGTGCTGGGCCCACAGGGTGGAGTATGAGTGGACCAGTGTCTCAGTGACTGTTCCTTCTTCCCCTTGCTGCGCTCCCGTGGGCCAGGTGTAGGGCTGCATCTCTTCATGGCGTAAAACTCATCCACACCGCAATCTCCAAAGAAGGTACTGCTGTCCCTATTTTCCCTACATGGCTCCTCCAGAGACGCCATGGCCACTGAGGGTCCAGGTGTACCCAGGCGGGTCCAGGTGTACCCAGGCAGCTCTAGGTCATTCTCTCACTCGAGTGAGGCGCCTGCCACCAGGGTGTTCCTCGTCCTGCAGCTGCCTGTTCTGTGCATGGGCTGTGCGTGCTGCGCCCCTGTGTGTCCAGCCACGCAGGCTCTGTGGCTCCCCTCCTAGAGGCTTCCTGTCCTGGACTCCCGGCCCTGGGGCCCCCAGCCTTGGGCTGCACTGCTCCTTGTCTGGATTGATTGAATCCTGGCTATTTCCTTTTGTTTGTTTTAAAGTTTGAGTAATTTGAGACTAAACATGGAGAGAAATGGTGACACACCCCAGTTCTTTTGGGGAAACCCTGGGTCTGATGACAGCCACCGTCTGTTGGTCTGTGTGTGTTGCACAGCAGCTTCATGTGGCCCTGCAGGTGGAGCGTGAGGGACTGGCATTGTCCAGGTCCCACCGGCACTGCCCCTGTATGGTCCTTGATGCTGTGCTGACTCACGCAGGTGAGGGTTCAATATCACCTGTTTCAGGAGCTGTGGAGCCCGGCGTGCACCCAGCTCCATGAGTCGTGCTGCTCCCCCTGCCATAACGAGATGGGTGTCTGTCTTCTTCTAGTCTGCGCTCTCCAAATCCTCATAGACTTCCCTGTTCAGGAAGACAAGCAGTCCCTCAGAAAGACACCCCCCTTAAAAAAAAAAACCCTTGGAATTAGTGTGTGCAGCTCACCAGCTGTGCCCCTGTGTGCTTGAGTTGTGGGGTTTCCCAGTGGGGACTCAAGTGGGAGGCTGACCCTGCGGTGCAGAGGGTCTCACCCCTAGGGCTTCCCCTGCCCCAGGCATCCACAGTCTCTGCAGGGTGGTTGGGACAGGCGGGCAAGGCGCTCACCTGGGCTGCCGTCTTCTCCCCAGCGGTGCCCATGGGCTCCGGAGACCATCAGTTCAACCTCTCGGAGATCCTGTCACAGAACTACAGCGTTGAGGGGGAGTGTGAGGAGCCTTCGAGATGCTCAGACAAGCCCAAGGAGGAGCTGGAGAAGGACTTCATCTCCCAGGTACTTGGCTGAGGTATTGGGTGGAGCCCTCTGGGATCAACCTCACAGTTTCTGTGCAGTCGGATTCATGTTGGCAAGTGCCAAATTGTGCCTCTTTCTGCAAAGTGCCAGGCACCATCCGAGGAGCTGCACTCACTGGTGACTGGGTCTTCCATGGGCTCTCTGAGCAGCACGGTGGCTGGGCATTAAGCCAGCTGCTCTCAAACCCTCTGGTCTCAGAACCCAATTTGTACTCTTCGTAATTCTTGAGCATTCCGAGGCAGTGTAGACTGGGGAAAAAAATTACTGAGCGTTTTGTCTGGGCGCGGTGGCTCACACCTGTAATACTAGCACTTTGGGAGGCCGAGGTGGGCCGATCACCTGAGGTCAGGAGTTTGAGACCAGCCTGGCCCACATGGTGCAGGAAAAAAAAAAAAGAAAAAAAAACCAACAAATGACATTTTGTCAATTTTCCTTTACTTTCTTAATGAACTTGGTTAGAAAGAAAAAAAGGCTGGGCATGGTGGCTCATGACTGTAATCACAGCACTTTGGGAGGCTAAGACGGGAGGATCATCTGAGGTCAGGAGTTCCAGACCAGCCTGGCCAACATGGTAAAACCCCACCTCTACTAAAAATACAAAAATTAGCCGGGTGTGGTGGCGCACGCCTGTAGTCCCAGCTATTTAGGGGGCTGAGGCAGGAGAATCACTTGAACCTGGGAGGCGGAAGTTGCAGTGAGCTCAGCTGAGCTGAGATGGCGCCACTGTGCTCCAGCCTGGGCGACAGAGCAAGACCCTGTCTCAAAAAAAAAAAAATTATTGAGAGGTTTAAGGAGCTTTGCTGATGTGTTTTATCTATTGCTTTTTCACTACACTAAAAGTTAAAGTTGACATGTAGGAATACTTATTTGCTAACTCATTTTAAAATGACATGAATAGGCTGGGTGTGGTGGCTCATGCCTGTAATTCCAGCACTTTGGGAGGCCAAGGCGGGAGAATCAGGAGGTCAGGAGTTCAAGACCAGCGTGACCACCATGGCGAAACCTTGTCTCTACTAAAAATGCAAAAAATAATTCTCCAGACATGGTGGTGTATGCCTGTAATCGCAGCTACTTTGGAGGCTGAGGCAGGAGAATTGTTTGAACCTGGGAGGCGGAGGTTGCAGTGAGCCAAGATTGTGCCATTGCACTCTAGCCTGGGTTACAGAGCGAGACACCATCTCAAAAAATAAAAATAAAATAGCTTGCACAAGTCAGTTATGTGTTAATATAAATATTTTTTTGAAAATGAAAGAAAACCTCTGTGTTCCTAAAGAAAAAAGAATTAGTGAGAAGAATGAGTTTTTCGTTTTCCAGATCTCTTTGAATGTAGATGCATATATGAAAGTCCAGCTTCTGGTCTTTTTTTTTTTTTTTTGACCGAGTCTTGCTCTGTTGCCCAGACTGGCATGCACTGGTGAGATCTCGGCTCACTGCAACCTCCGCCTCATGGATTCAAGCGATTCTCCTGCCTCAGCCTCCTAAGTAGCTGGGATTACAAGTGCATGCCACCACGCCCGACTAATTTTTTTTTTTTTTGTATTCTTAGTAGAGACAGGGTTTCACCATGTTGGCCAGGATGGTCTCCATCTCCTGACCTCATGATCCACCCGCCTCAGCCTCCCAAAGTGCTGGGATTACAGTCATGAGCCACTGTGCCTGGCCTAACCTTTTGATTTTATTTTTGTAGAGGTCTTGCTGCTTTGCTAGGTCTGGTCTCAAACTGTTGATCTCAAGAAATTTTTCTGCCTGGGCCTCCCAAAGTGCTGGGAGTGTAGGTGTGAGCCACCATACATGACTCAAGTTCTTTCTTTATTCTTTGTTTTGAGACAGAGTGGGGTCCTTTTGCCCTGACTGGAGGGCAGTGGCGCGTTCTCGGCTCACTGCAACCTCCACTTCCCTGATTCAAGCGATTCCCCTGCCTCAGCCTCCCGAGTAGCTGGGACTACAGGCGCCCACCACTGTGCCCAGCTAATTTTTGTGTTTTTAATAGAGATGGAGTTTCACCGTGTTGGCCAGGCTGGTCTTAAACTCCTGACCTCAAAGTGATGCTCCCACCTCGGCCTCTTATGCTTGGATTACAGGCGTGAGCCACGCCTGGCCTGCTTCTGTCTTTTAAGGGAGATGTTAGTCTGTTGTGATAAGGTCTTATGGTTGAAGTACGAATACAGCCTCATACAGATCCGTTGTTGAACAAGGAAGGCGTATTTAAGTTTTTCAGATATTGGTGGGTGATCTTCAATGCTACAGCAAAACTCAGCCAGTGGTAGTTTTGTAAAGGGTAGTTGTGGAGTGGAGTCTGAGACCATTACCAGCGAACCTCACAGTTAAAGAGGCAGAGAAGTCGGTGCATGGGGTCCCGCAGAGTGGCTTCTGGTGCTGGCTCTCTTCCTGGCTCGCGTGTCCTCACATGGTGGGCAGAGAACCCGAGGGAGCCCTCTGGTGTCTTTCTTAAAAGATTACTAATCCTGCTGGATCAGGGCCCCACCCTCATGGCCTCACTGGACCTGAGTCACTTCTGTAAACGCCTCGTTTCCAAGTACAGTCACGTTGGGGGTTAGGGCTAACGGTCAGTGTCACTGCCGGCCTCATCACAAGTTTTGTAAATGTTGAAATTTGGCAAGTTCATGTTTTCAAACCCAAGTTTGTCAAAGTCTTGAGTTGTACGGCTGCAGCAGTTACAGCCAGCTGTTTCCGCTGAAGTAGCAGCCCCCCTTGCCTGCCTACGAGGCTCCTGTCTGAGCGGCTGTAGTCCGGTACTCCTCAGATGAAAGGACGGGGAGGGCCCCTTTGCCTCGCCGCCCATTCCACATGCTTCCTTGAGGGAGCCCTCACTCTGGTAGGCAGCAGCCGCTCTGCTTCCCATGCCCTCACACAGAACATGGAGGCGCCTGCTCAGGATGAGACTTTACAGAATATGCCCGCCATCTTCTGAAGTGAAGCTGGGGAGTTTGCTTTTGGTCTGTGAGGGATGGGTAGTGGTGCCCTGACCGTGGCTTCCATGGGCGCTGGGCTCTTGCCAGCTGCTGGCGCGGCACCATCAGTGTGAGTGTGAGTGAGTGAGGCCCAGCACGGAAACCGTGGCTTGGTGCTCTTTGGACAGGGCTTCACCCGGGGCACCCAGGGGCCTTGTGACCACCGTGTCAGCCCTCCCACCTGCATACTCCTGGCGGTCATGGGCATACAGAATCTGTCTGTCCCCCGGGTCCTGTGAGAACTAAGGGGGGACTCGGTATGGACATTCCACCTGGGGAAGGGCTGGGAATGGGCCAGGAGGTTCTTTGTGGACTTGAAGCCCCAGAATGAGTCTGGGCAGGAGCTGGGGTGGAGGGGAGGGTTCAGGAAGGTGGGTGCTGGGAGTGACCCCCAGGGCTGGGTGGAGTCTGGGAAGGCAGATGTAACCTCAGTGGTGTAGAGGCTCGCTTGAGGGGGAGCATGGGGATTTGAAAGCAGCACTGGAGAGGATGATGTGTCTTCCTTCCTGGAGTTATGTGCCCTGTTTCTACTTCTGGGCATGCTGCATTGGCTCAGCATCAAACCATGTTCATCACGGTGCTCTCATTCCAGTTTGTGATGGCGAATTCTCTGGTTATTCATTTTTGACCCAGTGTGAATTGACAGCTTCTCCATTATATTTATGAAGCATCCATCTGGTTGTGCAGTTTTCTTCTTCTTTTTTAATTTTTATTTTGAGACAGAGTCTCGCTGTGTCGCCCAGGCTGGAGTGCACTGGCGTGACCTCTGCTCACTGCAACCTCTGCCTCCCGGGTTCAAGTGATTCTTGTGCCTCATCCTCCCGAGTAGCTGAGACAACGGGAGGCACACAGCTTATTTTTAGTGGAGACGGGGTTTTGCCATGTTGCCCAGGCTGGTCTTCAACTCCTGGCCTCAAGTGATCCGCCCTCCTTGGCCTTCCAAAATGCTGGGATTACAGATGCGAGGCCCTGTGTCTGGCCTGTCTATGTAGTTTCCTGAGGGTTTTTTTTTAATCAGGAATAAATGTCAGATTTTACCAAACGCGTCTTCAGGTTACTTTTTTCCCCTTTGATAAAACTGATGTTGAGTTAAAATGGTAGCTTGCCAGGTGTCGCACCATCCTTGTATTCCTGTTATTCACCCTGTGCGAGGAGGCACTGGGCAGGGTGGTCCACTCTTCCTGGCTGGTGACCCCTGTGTTCCAGTGCCTCTCTGAGGGATTGTGAAGGGGCTCAGGCTGGGCCTGAGCTCTGGCTGGGGAGTGCTTCGTGGGGGGAGCTGCTGTGGGTGTGTCAGAGTCGCCCTGGTTGTGGCCAGCAAGGCTCAGGTGAGGGAGAGGGGACAGGAGCCCCCTGAGTAGTCCCTCCTGATGGGGCCCTGTTCCCCTCCCCAATTCAGAGCAGCGACATGCCCTTCGATGAGCTGCTTGCACTCTATGGCTATGAGGCCTCAGACCCCATCTCAGAGTGGGAGAGTGAGGGTGGCGACATGGCCCCCAACCTCCCAGTCATGACCCTGGACAAGGTGAGTGAGTGCCCTTCCTGGAACTGGCTCCCAGCAGAGGTGCAGGGACCCCCTCTCAGCAGGGGGCGTTCAGTGAGAGAAGCACAGAAACCCCCAGAACAAGTAGAATGTGGCCACCTGTACCACTCCATCGGGGTTGAAATGGCCATGGGCATGAGGCTGGACCCTGGCCTTAACCCCGGGCCACATGTCCTTCTGACGTGGGCGGGTGGAGGGGCAATTGGGGCCTGTCCTGGAGAAGTGCACCTGGGAAGGCAGAGGAACCGTGACCTGGCCGCCTCCCCGGGACTGGGCTCTCTGACATTAGGTACCCAGAGGTCACTGCTCAAGAGTTGGGCATTTGGAGCAGGAGAAGGCTGCATTGCAGAAGGTCCACACCAAATGCGTGGCCAAGAAAGAGCCACACGCTCTGGGCGGTGCCCAGTGGCGGCTCTGACTGTTCCCAGCTCTGGTGGCTGGGTGTGGGCTCCCCTTGCACTGTGCACCCTCGGGTGCCTCCAGCTCCTTATCTGAGTCATGGGAATAGCGCCCCACGTGTCCAGTTCCGTCCCCGCTTCCCTCCCCCCAACACTGCCCCCTCGGCCACCTCCATTTCCTTTTCTGCAGAATGGGTGTCGGCCCCACGTGAGCCACAGGGAGCCCTCAGCCTCTTCACTGTTGTTATGGCTAGTGTTACCCTGAGACTGCTGAACTGTAAAACGTTCTTTACTTTTTTGTTAAAAGGAACAAATAGCGAAGGATTTGCTTTCAGGGGAAGAAGAGGAAGGGCCGCAGTCATCTGCTGATGACCTCACCCCGTCCGTGACTTCGCACGAGGCCTCCGACCTTCCCAAACCGGAGTGGATGTAGGTGACTCTGTTCCAATCCGCTGCTGCGCCCAGGCCCCTGGCCAGGCAGGGGTGATGCTGAAGGGTCCTGGGGCTGGTGTGGGCCAAGAACTCGTCACAGATGAGGGCGTCTGCCTGGTGGGAAGCGTTGGTAGCCCAGGGGGTGCCTCACTCTCCCCCACCCTGGCCAGTGAGCAGGGACTCTCGGAGTGATTCAGTTTAGACAAGGGACAATGTGTTGGTTCTCATAGCAGAGCTGGAGACGGCACCCCTATGACCGTCCTCCCCCACAAGCCTGTGTGCCAGCTTTTCTGGGAGCTGAGGGCTCAGGCCCAGCGGTGCAGCAGCAGTGTGGAAGGGAAGGGAAGACCTCTTTCTTCAAAGTGCATCCAGGGTCCTGGGTTCTGTGCCCATCCACATCCCGGTGTCTGGCCAGGGAGGGGGTCAGAGCCTGGGGATCAGGTGGATGGAGAGTGGGAGTGGAGGGTCTTTGCCTGGAGAAGGGGCTGTGCAGGCCGCCGGCAGTGGAGACCCTGAGGGACCTGCCTCCGTTTTCCCAAAGCTCGTTTCCTGGCTGATGAAGTCAAGGAGCCTGGCTCTTCTGCCTCCTCCGACACTGAGGAGGACTCCCTTCCTGCCAACAAATGTAAGAAGGTACGTGGCTCTGCTTCTCCCCAACCTCGTATTGACCGCAGTCACCACAGCGGGGTCCTGCTGAGCCCTCTCCCTGGGTATGTGCCCCTTCTCAGAGGAGGGACGTGCTGCTTGACCCTGGGGTGGGCTGGGACCGGAGCCCTGGCTCCTGCTGCTGACCCAGAGTGTCTCTCCTCTGACATCCTGTCTGGGCCTGCCAGGCCAGTGTCAGGGCACAGCCTTCTCTCACACACCCAGGCCTCTGCCTCCCATCCTCAGACCCCAGAACTGGCATCAGCAGGTCGATTGCACACATGGGTCTGGGGTCTGAATGGCGGCCCCTCTGCCCGAGCCTGCCACAGCACATGCAGCCAGCCTCCCTCCTGTGCTGGTGCTTTCTCAGTGTCATTGCACACATGGGTCTGGGGTCTGAATGGTGGCCCCTCTGCCCGAGCCTGCCACAGCACATGCAGCCAGCCTCCCTCCTGTGCTGGTGCTTTCTCAGTGTCATTGCACACATGGGTCTGGGGTCTGAATGGCGGCCCCTCTGCCTGAGCCTGCCACAGCACACGCAGCCAGCCTCCCTCCTGTGCTGGTGCTTTCTCAGTGTCATTGCACACATGGGTCTGGGGTCTGAATGGCGGCCCCTCTGCCCGAGCCTGCCACAGCACACGCAGCCAGCCTCCCTCCTGTGCTGATGCTTTCTCAGTGTCCTGATTCCCAGGCCCTTGTTTGCAGGAGATCATGGTGGGACCTCAGTTCCAAGCTGACCTCAGCAGCCTGCACTTGAACCAGCACTGTGAGAAGAGTAAGTGGGGCCTGGGGCAGGGAACTCACTTCTGCAGGGGAGTGGCCCGGTTGGGTGGCAGATCGTTGGACAGTCCGAGGGGCCCAGCCTGGTCAGGTGCCCGCCCTCTGTAGCTTGCTGGGCAGCCGAGCCTGTGGCTGCGGTGGGCCTGTCGATGCCTGCCCCTGCCCACTCTGCCCTGCTCTGTCCGTCTCTTGGGGTCTGCTCCCGTCACCCTGTGCAGGCAGACCCTCGGCAGTCCGTCCCGCCCCGCCCTTGACTCCAGCCGCCTCACCCCAGCCGGGCCGCTGCCTTCTGCCCCGAGGCGCCTCCTCAGGAGCCCTGGGTCAGACGGGTTCTCTGGAGAGACCTGCTAGGTGTCCTGCGGCTTCCCCTGCCTAGCTCCCCCGCTCTGCAGGGCACTCCCTGTCCTGGACCTGATCTTTGTCTCTTTCCCCCTGGAGTTCAGAGCCGAGCCGCTCTGGCCCCTTCCAGGAGTGGCCTCACTTTCACACTGACTTGGGTCTTGCCTAGCCCCGGAGCCCTGTAGGCCCTGGGCCAGTGCTGCTAGCTCAGGAGCCTTCTCCAAGGTGATTCCGTGGCTGGGATGGACTGTGTGAGAGGAGGACGGAGGCAGGCAGGTGCAGCCAACCTGGGACATCCAGAAGGCAGGGTCAGAGGGGACACGGGACCCTCACCCAGAAAAGGCACCTGCAGTCACACTCTGGGTGGAACCCTGGCCTTGGAGCCTGTCATCAGGGCCCTTTCCCAACCCTGACTCACCCCATGAGGGTGCCCTGTCCTCGGCAGCCAGCACTGCTTCAGCCATGGGATGCCACCAGCCTCTCCCACTCTGTGTGATGTCTGTGCTGTTGGAGTCATCTGCGTGCTTGTGTCTCGTGTATTGTGCTGTGGTGCTTGGTTTGGGTGCCACGTTTGCCCACCCTTCCTGCTGTGGGCTGCTGTCACGGTTGGGCCCGTTCGTGGCCGTGAACGCCCTTGTGCCTGGTTCGTGGATAGAGTGCTCAGGTCTCGATGGACAGCAGGGAGTCGCACGGTAGGCGTGTGCTGGGGTTAGGTGTGCTGCCCGAGTTTCTCACTCGTGATTTGTGGGAGTCGCTCACATTCTCGGTGTTTGACCCCGAGGGTGAGTTTGCCTGAGTTGAGAAGGACTTGTGGCGTCCTGTGTTTCACTGGCATTCCCTGGAGAGTATGCTCACCATTTGGATATTCTCTCTGTGTGCCCAAAGCTTTCCCCGTTTCTGACTTGGGTGGTCTTTCTCTGACTCGTGGAGTGACTTACACGTTCTGGAAGCGAGTCCTCTGTGGGCGCTGCGCCTGCTGCTGTCTGCTCCAGTGTGTGGCTTGCCCATTGACTCTGGGTGGTGTCTTCAGTCAAGTCCAGCTTACCAATCTTCATTTTAAAAGTAACGTGTTTGTGTCCTATTTAAGAGTCTTTGCTTACCTTCAGGCTCTCGAAGGTATTCTTCCATGTTTTGTTCTAGAACCTTTATTGTTTTCCTTTCACATTTAAGGCTGTGATCCAACTTAATTTAAATCTTGGTGTATGGCGGCCAGGGCTGTGGCACACCCTGTAATCCCCGCACTTTGGGAGGCTGAGGCGGGTGGGTCACTTGAGGTCTGGAGTTTGAGACCCGCCTGTCTAACATGGTGAAACCCCATCTCTACTACAGATACAAAAATTAGCCAGGCGTGATGGTGCACGCCTGTAGACCCAGATATGCGGGAGGCTGAGGCAGGAGAATCACTTGAACCACGAGTTGGAGGTTGCAGTGAGCTGAGATTGCGCCACTGCACTCCAGCCTGGGCCACAGAGCGAGACTCCATCTCAGGAAGATAAAAAGTCAATGAATTTTGGTGTCTGGTGTTAGGTGGTGTATGAAGTGTGGTTTAGGGAACTGTTTCCCATACGGATATGTGGTTGCTTCAGCACCACACGTTGAGAAGACTGTGGCCAGGTGCGGCGACTCTGTCTCCAACAGAAAATAAAGTCCATTCTCTCCCCCGCTGAGTTGCAGCGATGCCTTTGTGATAAATCAGGTGTCTGTGAAGTGTCTCCCTTCTCTCACCCTGAGTCATTGCCACACTGTCGCAATTGTTACACATTACACGTAAGTCCGAGGTGGTGCAAGTCTTCCAGCTTTGTAAGTTTTCGTTGTATGTGTATATGAGTTTAAGAGTAAAACTTAGGTTTTCGGCAGCTGAGAGGTTTTATTATTATTTACTCATTTTAGAGACAGAGTTTCGCTCTTGTTGCCCAGGCTGCAGTGCAGTGGCGCAGTCTCATCTCACCGCGACCTGCACCTCCCGGGTTCAAGTCATTCTCCTGTCTCAGCCTCCGAGTAGCTGGGATCACAGGCATGCGCCACCATGCCCAGCTAATTTTTTTTTATTTTTAGCAGAGTTGGTGTTTCACCATGTTAGCTAGGCCGGTCTCGAACTTCTGATCGCAAGTGATCCTCCTGCCTTGGCCTCCCAAAGTGCTGGGATGACAGGTGTGAGCCTGTCATCCAGCCCTGGCGAGTTTTAATCTTAAAACTTAGGTAGATATACAGCTTGTCACTTGCCTCAAAAATAGTTGCTCGGGTGTTGATTAGGCTTGCACTGGATCTCTAATTCAGGGAGAATGGAGACTCCACTCTCTGGGTTGTCACCTCTGTAGAGACCTTCAATCTTAGCAATGCTGTGCTTTTCAGTAGAGCATCTTTTTTCTGAAATGGAGTCTCCCTTCGCCTTCCAGGCTCGAGTGCAATGGCACGAACCCAACTCACGGCAACCTCCGGCCCCCAGGTTCAAGCAGTTCTCCTGCCTCTATCTCTGGAGAAGCTGGGATGACAGTTGCGTGCCACCATGCCTGGCTATTTTTTGTATTTTAAGTAGAGACAGGGTTTCACCATGTTGGCCAGGCTGGTCTCCAACTCCTGACCTCAGGTGATTGACCTGGCTTGGCCTCCCAAAGTGCTGGGATCACAGGAGTGAGCCACCGCACCTGGCCTGCTTCTTTATTTTCTAAATTTGTGCTGGCTAGTCCAGTGCAGGCATGAAAAGATGAACTGATGGAGGACATCTCTGTCTTGGTCTCAGACTTGGAAAAAGTGGCCAGTGTTTCCCCTGTTAAAGTTGGCTGTGAGATTTCCGTGGATGCTCTATTAGATGGAAGCTCCCCCTCTGTTCCTCGTAGCTGACAGTTTTTCATGAATGTGCATTGAATTGTTTCAAACGCTCTCTCTGCATGGATTGAGACAGTCTTTTTCTCTTCTATTGTGCTAATGCAGTTAAGTACATAAATTGACTTTCTTTATTTTATGTATTTATTTTTTCGAGTCGGAGTTTTGCTCTGTTGCCCAGGCTAGAGTGCAACGGCGCCATCTCAGCTCACTGCAACCTGTGCCTTGTGGGTTTAAGCGATTCTCCTGCCTCAGCCTCCGAGTAGCTGGGATTACAGGCATCTGCCACCAGGCCTGGCTAATTCTGTATTTTTTACCAGAGATGAGATGTCTCCATGTTGGCCAAGCTGGTCTCGAACTCGCAACCTCAGATGACCCTCCTGCCTCGACCTCCCAAAGTGCTGGGATTACAGGCACGAGCCACAGTGCCCGGATTGCCGCAAGGCATCTTTAATGGTTGATGAAAATGCTGTCTTTCCCTGGGGCAGTGATTCATGCTCCACGTGAGCACCCAGGTTAATGGAAATTAACACATACGAGTTTGGTCCCTTCCTTCCTCAGTTCGATTTGCTCATGTGGATGATTTTTGCATGTATGTTCATGGAGGTACTGAGCTGCCCTTCTATTTTTATTTATCTGAGTCTGGTCTTGGTCCCAGGGTTGTGCCGCTTTCATGATTGTATTTGGAAGTGGCCTTTTCCTAACCTCTGGAGGAATTTGTATAAGATCATTATTTCCTCCGTGGTTCTTCAGTGGAGTCATCTAGGCCTGGGATTTAGTTTTATTTCTGTGGAAGGTTTTGAATTATAGGTTCAATTTATTTATTTACTCAGAGACAGAGTCTGGCCTCTGTCACCCAGGCTGGAGTGCAGTGGCGCGATCTCCACTCACCGCAGCCTTCGCCTCCTGGGTTCAAGTGCTTCTCCTGCCTCAGCCTCCCGAGTAGCTGGGATTGCAGGCACCCGCCACCACGCCAGGCTAATTTTTGCATTTTAGGTAGGGACAAGGTTTTACCATATTGGCCAGGCTGGTCTCAAACTCTTGACTTCAGGTGATGCTCGTGCTTTGGCCTCACAAAGTGCTGGGATTGCAGGCGCGAGCCACCGGCCAGGTTCATTTTATTTGACGTACAATAGTTTCTGTCTCGATGGGTTGTGTGTAGGAGGGGTTTACCGTGCCCTGCGTTGCTGACCCTGTTGGCGTCAGGCTGTCAGCAGACCCTTTCGCATCCTCCCTGGCATCTGTAGGGCGTCCCCTTTTTGATTCCTGATGCTGGTGATTTGCATTTCCTGCTATTTCTTGTTCCCCCCTCAGCCTTCCTAGGAGTTTCATCAGTCGTATTACTCTTTATGAGAAACTCACTGTAGCATTGATCGTGTCTCTCTATTGCTGGTTTCTGTTTTGTGTTAAACGTGCGCTCTGAATGAAGAGACCCCCAAACAAGCTTTGTGTGAGCAACATGGCTGCTTCTTCACCCGGGTGTGGGCGTGCTCAGTCTAAAGTCAGCGCAGGGCGGCGGGACGGGAGGTGGTTTTGTAGGTTTGGGGTGGACAGTGGAATGTTGCAGAAGTTACAGTTCAGGGTGGCTTTTGCAAGCTGAGGGGGCCGAAGGGTCTGGAGTCACAAGGTTGGCCTTGGTCAGTTACAAAGTCCAGTTCCCTCATCAGCTGAGGCAGGAATAAGGAACCGCAGAAGGACATCTCAAGTTGATGAGCCCCCCAGGGGTTGATGGTTCTCCTTTTAGAGGTTTTCGTCTGGAGTGTGCGTGCTGGTCACAGAGGTCCATGGTGCAGGCAGGCAGAGTCTCGCTCTGCTGCCCAGGCTGGAGTGCAGTGGTGCGATCTTGGTTCACTGCAACCTTCGCCTCCTGGGTTCAAACGATTCTCCTGCTTCAGCCTCCCTAGTAGCTGGGATTACAGCCATGCGCCACGACACCTGGCTAATTTTTGTGTTTTTAGTAGAGATGGGGTTTCCCTGTGTTGAGCAGGCTGGTCTCGGACTCCCAGCCTCAGGTGATTCACCCACCTCGGCCTCCCAAAGCGCTGGGATGACAGGCCTGAGCCACCACACCTGGCCCTCTTCCTGATGTGTAATTATTACACTGTGGTCAGAAAACATCCTCTAATTTCAGTTCTTTGAGGTGAGTTGTGCCTCGCATTATGACCAGTATTTAATCTGTTTTGGTCAGTGTTCTGCGTGTTTGAAGAGCATGTGTGTTGTGCGGTTGTAGGGTGTTCTCCTCCGTGTGTTTCCCTTGGCCAGTTGGGTAGTTGTTCCCATCGTCTGTATTCTCACTCAGGTGTTTGGCTGCTTTTTGTATTTATTGAGAGCTCTGCAGTGACCTCCTCCAGTTGTGGATCTCGTTTCCCCGTTTAATTCTGCCCATTTCTTCTTCACATTGCAGCCATATCGTTACATGCGCAGACGTTAGGATTGCTTTGTCTTGGTGTTGAGTTGTTTCTTCTGTCGTTGCGAAGTGTCCTTCTGTAGGAACCCTCTTCTTACCATGAGGAAGGACTGGACCAGCTGTAAACGTGACTCCGCGGCTTTTCATAGGTTTGTTCAGCATCTGCTCGGCTTTCCCGTTCTCTCCACCATTCTGTGGTTTTTATTTGAAGCGTATTGTCTGTAAATGGCACGTTTCAATCTTCTTTTTCTTTTGAGATGGAGTCTCGAGTCCAGCAATGCAATCTCCACTCACTGCAGCCTCTGCCTCCCAGTTTCTAGCAGTTCTCCCATGTAAGCCTCATAGCCATGATCACGGGTGCCCGCCGCCACAGCCAGCTGAGTTGTGTGTTTTTAGTAGAGAGGAGGTTTCACCGTGCCGACCAGGCTGGTCTCTAAAATCTAGACCTCAAGCGACCTGCCCGCCTCGGCCTCCCAACGTGCGCTCGAGCCGCTGTGCCCAACTGGATTTTGTTCTTAATTTGGTCTGATAGTCATTGTTTTTTAGGAGTTTTTAGTTCATTTGCGTTTTTTAGGTTACTTGTATGTCATGTAATTGTGAAAACAAGTGTGTAATGCCGCCATCTTGCTCTCTGCTTTCCGTGTGATCCATCTGCCCTTTGTTCTTGTGTTTTTGAGGTGGAGTTTCACTCTTGTTGCCAACGCTGGAGGGCAGTGGTGCGATCTCAGCTCGCTGCAACCTCCGCCTCCTGGGTCCAAGCAGCTCTCCTGCCTCAGCCTCCCGAGCAGCTGGGATTACAGGGGCGCCACCACGCCCGGCTAATTTTGTATTTGTAGTAGAAACGGGTTTCACCATGTTGGTCAGGCTGATGTCAGGTGATCCGCCCGCCTCGGCCTCCCTGAGTGCTGGGATGACAGGTGTGAGACACTGCGCCCGGCCTGTTTTTCTTTCTAATTTTTTTTGTGTCTTCCTTTGGATTACGTAGCTTTGTTTTGTCTTAGGATTTTAGTTCACTGCTTACCCTAGAGGTTACAGTGTGAGTTCTCATCACAGTCTACTTGGAAGTACAATGTGCTCATTTAACATGGACTGTGAGGCTCTGTGCGGTGGCTCACACCTGTAATCTCAGCACTTTGGGAGGCTGAGGTCACTGGAGTTAAAATTGAAGACCTGCATGGCCAACATGGGCTTTACTAAAAATAAAAAAATCAGCTGGGCATGGTGGGGGCGGGTGCCTGTAATCCCAGCTACCTGTCAGGAGAATCACTTGAACCCTGGAGGCGGAGGTTGTGGTGAGCCGATATGGCGCCACCGCACTCCTGCCTGGCGACAGAGCGAGACCCTGTCCCCCAAAAAAAACCAGAACTGCGTATCACAAGATGACACGTTGCTGTTTTAAACAGTGGACAGTCTCTGTGTTGACCCATGTGTGCCCTTCAGTTCCAGTGGGGTCATGTCCTTCAGCCTGAAGAACTTTTCACTCGGCCTGACGCTGTCTTTCAGCATTTTTTTTTTTCTGAAAAGCCGCGATTTTGCTTTCATTCCCTAAAGAGTATTTTCATGGTTATACGTTTCTAGGTTTTCAGGCTTTTTCCTTTCCGCACCTGAACAGTTTCCTTCCATTGCTTCCTGTCTGCCGCTGTCTCTGTTAAAAGTCAGAGCCTGGGCCGGGCGCGGGGGCTCACGCCTGTAATCCCAGTGCTTTGGGAGTCTGAGGCGGGTGAATCACGAGGTCAGGAGTTCAAGACCAGCCTGACCAACGTGGTGAAACCTTGTCTCTATTAAAAACAAAAACAAACAGAAAACAACTCAGAGCCTGTCTTACTGTTTCTTTTGAAATCATTGTGCCGTCGTCTCGCCTCAGGTTTTTTTTTTTTTTTTACCAGTTTTACTGTGATGTGCATGTGCACACGTGCCTCTGTGTGTCCTTGTGTTTGCCCCGAGTGTCCTGGCTCTGGGGGTTGGCATCAGTTGTCAGTTTTGAAGAATTCTTGGCTCTTCTCTCTTCAGATTTTGTGCCGCTGCCTCATTCTTTGCCTTTTCTGTGACCCGTGTGCACATCTCTGAGGTTGCTTAGCTGTCTTACGCCTGCCCTAAACTCTGCTCTTTCTTTTTTTTTTTTTTGAGACGGAGTCTCACTCTTGTTGCCCAGGCTGGAGTGCAATGGTGCGATCTCAGCTCACCACAACCTCCACCTCCTGGGTTCAGGCAATTCTCCTGCCTCAGCCTCCCGAGTAGCTGGGATTACAGGCATGCACCACCACGCCCAGCTAATTTTTGTATTTTTAGTAGAGACGGGGTTTCACCTTGTTGACCAGGATGGTCTCGATCTCTTGACCTCGTGATCCACCCGCCTGGGCCTCCCAAAGTGCTGGGATTACAGGCGTGAGCCACTGCGCCCGGCCTCTGCTCTTTCTTTGTAGGCTCTCCATTTCTTTCTGATCCCACTAGTTTGGTCTCGTGCTGTGCTCAGGCTGCTGGTAAGCTACTCCCTGGGTCCATGCATTCGGGTGCTGCATTTCCCAATCCTGGAAGGTCCTTGAGATTCTTCTGTATAAGTTTCAAGTCTCTGTGGAGACTCTCCGGCTCTTTGTCCGTTCTCTTAACATGCTGACCCTAGATAGATGTCTTCGTCTGCTGACACGTAGTATTGGCTGTGCAGACCTGCTTTGTTGTCTGATGTTTTCTTGTTTTATTTGGAGACAGGGTCTTGCTCTGCTGCCCGGGATGGAGTGCAGTGGCGCATTCGTGGCGCGTTGCAGCCACGACCTCCTGGGCTCAAGCGCTTCTCCCATCTTAGCCTCCCACGTGGCTGGGACTACAGGCAGGTACCACCAGGCCTGGCCACTTTTGAAATTTTCTGTAGAGATGGAATGTGCCGGTCTGGCCTCGACTGATCCTCCCACCTCAGCCTCCCCAAGTGCTGGGGTTGCAGGTGTGAGCCATCACACCTGGCTCACGTTTTTCCCTCGTGTTTCCCCATTCTTCACGTGCTAGGCTGCACGTGGTGCTACTTTTCTCCAGAGATGGCCTCTTTTCTTAGAGACCACCTTGGTCTAGGCAGGGCTCAGGCGGTGCCTGTGGAGATGGAGAGAGGTGGCTGTGGGGTCCGCCCACTTTCCTCGCAGGACTGCGGGGACCAGGAGAGGCCCTGCCTTGTGGGCACAGCACCAGCCCGGGAGCTGGTTGCGTGTCAGCTCCTGGTGGCAGTTTCCTGTGGGAGCGGTTTCCCGTGTGCATTTCTCACTGTCTCCCTCTGCACTGACGGCATTTGTTATTCGTTAGTTTGCTTCGACTGGGTTCCTGTGCCCCTTTCCTAGATAATCGAGAGGTGCTGGCACTTGTCCCAGACCTGGCCCTGAGCTCTCCCCTGCCTTGTCCCAAGCCATGTCCCTTCCCACAGCTGGAGGCTGCACCCCTCCCTTTGCTGAAAGCTGACTTCATCTGAAGTTGTCGACCTTTCCTCCCATCAGCCCGTCCGCCACCTGCACCAGCTGCCAGGGGCAGGATGTCTCCCCAGCGGTGATGCACATTCTGGCCAAGGCTCTTCAGATCCCGCGGTTAGAGTGCGACGGTGCCTGTGAGGGCTTCTGCTTATCCATGGGACCCAGACCTCAGCTGCCTTCATCCGCTGTCTGGGGTCCTCAGGCCCCAGCTGCCTTCATCCAGAGTCTGGGGTCCGCAGGCCCCAGCTGCCTTCATCCAGAGTCTGGGGTCCGCAGGCCCCAGCTGCCTTCATCCAGAGTCTGGGGTCCGCAGGCCCCAGCTGCCTTCATCCAGAGTCTGGGGTCCGCAGGCCCCAGCTGCCTTCATCCAGAGTCTGGGGTCCTCAGGCCCTGGCTGCCTTCATCTGCTCTCTCGGGTCCGCAGGCCCCAGCTGCCTTCATCCAGAGTCTGGGGTCTGCAGGCCCCGGCTGCCTTCATCAGCTCTCTGGGGTCCGCAGGCCCCAGCTGTCTTCATCCAGACTCTGGGGTCTCCTTCCTGCTCCCTCAGGCCCCCGCATCTTGTAGCTGTGCAGCCTGAAGCCAGCCTCACCTCACTGGGGTCACTCCTTACATCCCCCTCTGCAGAGTCCTTGCTGGGAACTCCCCTGCCCCAGATCTAGGCTGCCCGCAGCTTGCTCTGACCCCTTGGCTGGATCAGGCGCCCCTGCTGACTGCTCCTGGCTGCCTGCATTTGGTCATGAGGATACAGGCCTGTGTCTGGCACCCAGAGCCTGCCCTGGATCCAGCCTCACCAAGCCCAAGAGGAGCGAGCGACAGCATCCCCAGGGAAAAGGGGGGTGGGACAGTGCCTCTTCCCTGTCCTGGCATGTGTGGGTGCACAGTGGGTTCCTGCAGCAAACCCTTGCCCTCTGCTTATGCAGTCTACGAGAATGAAGACCAGCTGCTCTGGGACCCCAGTGTCCTCCCCGAGAGGGAGGTGGAGGAGTTCCTGTACAGAGCTGTGAAGAGACAGTGGCATGAGAGGGCCAGGCCTCAGCTCCCGGAGGGAGAGACTGTGAAAGACAGTGAGCAGGTGGGTGCTGCCGTGCTCAGGACAGGGGCTGAGGGGCCAGGCAGGGCAGGAAGGAGGCCATGGGTCAGGCGTGTGGGGGCCTGGGCATCGGAACAGTCACTCAGGTCGGAAGGGGGCCAGTTAAAGGCACGTATCAGGGAGGAGGCGCAGATGCTTCCCGATACCTCCGCAGGGGGATGTAGACACCCCTCAGTCTCTCCCTGGATAGATGTGCAGACGGCCTTGACGTCACTGGGGATGAGTGGTGTGGGCCGCCCTTGATACCATTCCCTAGAGGGTATAGACAGTTCTTGCCGTCGGCTCCTGGGGTGAGCCCATGGGAAGAGTCTACACGTCTTCTCGGCAGGCGCTGTATGAGTTGGTAAAATGCAACTTCAACGTGGAGGAGGCCCTGCGGAGGCTGCGGTTCAACGTCAAGGTGATCCGAGGTGAGCGGCGCCCGTGCCTGTCCCTCCGCTGCCCTGCCCCGGCGCAGCTCACCAGTCCCCCGGCCGTTTTTGCAGATGGGCTCTGTGCTTGGAGTGAAGAGGAGTGCAGGAACTTTGAGCACGGCTTCCGTGTGCACGGGAAGAACTTTCACCTGATCCAGGCCAACAAGGTGCGGGTGCCGTGGCCCTCCTCCCTCCCCCAGGCTCCGTGAGGGTCGGCTGGGCCCTCTGCTGGGGGGGGGCTTCTCCATTTGGGAAGGGGCTTCATCTGGTGAGGGGTTCTTCATCTGGGAGGGAGTTCTCTGTCTGGAAGGGCTTCTCCATCTGGGGAGGGGCTCCTTGGTCTGAGGAGGGTTGTCTGCATCAGGGGAGGGACTCCTCAGTCTCGGAAGGTCTGGGGAGGGGGCTCCTTGAGGTCTGGGGAGGGGCCGATGGTCAGCAGGCCCACAGCAAACGACTGACTGCAGGCCTGAAGCCCCGTGTCCGCCTCCTCACCGCGTGCCCATTGCTGTCTTCTCTAGTTTCCTCTGTTGACTGCTCTGGGCCCCTTTCCAGTCCCGAAAAGAACAAGGCTCTGGTTTTGGGGAGGAATGTGGTAGAAGCGGAATTCCTGTAGTCGTTCTGTCTCACATCTACCCCAGCACCATGGGCACCTCATTCCCATGTCCATGTCCTCAGAGAGGAGCCTGCTGGCTCTGTGCCCAGCACTGACCCCACAGCAGGACCCTGACCCCTGGGGACCAGGGGTCTCAGGGGTTCCCTCCTCCAGGGACCCAGGTCCTTCTGCCACCCAGGGGAAACCCTCACAATAGGCGGGTGCTGCCGGGTGCTGCCTCTGCCCCTCCCTAGATCTTGGCCTCATCCTCTGTGGGTGTCTGCACGTCCAGCAGGAATGCCCTGTGTCCTGTGGCTTCTGGAGCGATAAGGTCCAGCTGTAATGACCAAGCGACTTAGAAGGAAACGCACCACGCTCCAAGTTCCAGATTCAGAATCCTTTATTAATTAGCCGTTGGCCAAGAGTCAGCTCAGGCTCAGAGTCTCCCGGCCCCTAGGAAGGGGCTTGATTTCCCTGTATACCTTGATTTGGGTAGGGGAGGGGGAGCCTAGCTGGAGCGGATTTTACAGAAGCAGAGCAGGCGAGTTAGCTGGTGACCAGTGGGGAGGAGGTCCCCAGGATTGTTGGTTGCTAAGGGTATTTCCAGACAATCACCAATTGGGCTTTGAAGAGACTTACACACAATAGCAGGTGTGCTTGCCAGGCAGGACGCAGTTAAACTGTTAAATGGTGGGATGAGCAGAGTCAGCGTGGCCCAGTTGTGCACCCAAAGGGGCTGTGGACAGGAGGGGGAAGCTCAGAGTTTACAGCTAAGATGGGGTCAGTGATGCTGGCCCAGGGTAGGTTATTACACAGCCTCTTGCCAGAGTCAGGCATCTCTGGCTGAAAACCCTCCCGTGGCTGACCTGTGGCTTCTCCGCCTCTGTCCACTCCCCTCTTAGGCTCTGAGTCCCCTCAGGACCTGCGGGCTGTGACCTTGTTACGCTGAGGCCGCTTTCGCCTTGTGTCCTGGGGCCTGATGCCTTCCCATGAATGGAGGAGGCGAGGCACCTGCCGGGGGCTGGTTGTGCAGCACAGGGCGTCCCTCTGTGACTGCGCGGCAGCCAGGGACTGTCCTCATCGGACTTCAGCACCACATGGTGCTTGGATTGGAGGCAGTCAGGACGGGTGTGGCTGCAGGGCAGTAGGGTTGCTAGCTGTGTTTCCGTAGCTCTGGGCAGGGCTGTGTGTAGCCAGCACATGATGGTTTGCTCTGTCTGGAATGGGACTGGGAGCTGGTGTTTATTTCAGCCTGGCCTTTTCCTGGGCAGCTCTCTCATGACGGGCATGTAAGGTTTGCCCTCTGGAGAGATTGTCTCGGTCTCACTCCCAGGCAGGACCCCATGCTGTGCTCGCAGGGGAGCATTGGGTGTCCTGGTTCTGGTTGTGGTGGGTTAGTTAACTAGGGTATGTACAGGTGAGGGGGTCTTTTCTGCCTCCCCAGCAGGGGCCTCAGACTCAAGCTTGCTGTGGGACAAGCCTCCGGGGCAGAGAGGCAGGAGGTGTTGGCAGGTGTGCGTCCAGCTCCATGCCAGGTGCTGCGCGGAGAGGCAGGAGGTGTTGGCAGGTGTGCGTCCAGCTCCGAGCCGGGTGCTGCGCGGAGAGGCAGGAGGTGTTGACAGGTGTGCGTCCAGCTCCGAGCCGGGTGCTATGCGGAACACGCTTGCCCCGCGTCCCTTCTTGTCTCTGCAAACTCCTGACGTGCATGTGTTTTGGCCTTTCCGTGCTGCATTGTGAATTCTGAGTTGGGTTCACAGAACCGGTGTGTCCTTCCGTGGGGTCTTGTGTGCACTGGGAAGTGCTCACTCGTTTGGCGGAAGAGCAGGTGCCACGGACTTGTGCGTTCGGGAGTCTGTGGACCCTGGAGGACCGGTGTGTGTGGCTGATGCTACAGAAAGGAAAGGGAGGTCTCAAGCCAGGAGCTGGGGGGCTCTGCAGGGGCTTGAAACAGGAGTCAGTGCCACATGCTGTGATCCCCCATTCGCTCATGGTGGGTGTAGCCCGTGGGCCTGAGTAGGGTCATGGAGGGTCTTGTATGATCTGAGCACAGCGGGTGCCGTGCCCCTTCTGTGCCATCCCAGTACACGTCCTGGGTTGGGGGTGCAGGGGCTGGCAGCTGGGGACGGAGGTGACACCTGATCCCTCTACACAGGTGCGCACGCGGTCGGTGGGCGAGTGTGTAGAGTACTACTACCTGTGGAAGAAGTCGGAGCACTACGACTACTTTGCCCAGCAGACGCGGCTGGGCCGGAGGAAGTACGTCCCGTCTGGAACCACGTGCGTGCAGCGCTGCTCCCCGGCAGTAACCATGGGAGGCCAATCCACTGGGGGTGGGCACGTGGGTGCCTGGGTGGCACCCCCTGTATGGGGGCGTCCCTTCTCTCAGCTGCTCCTGCCCTTCATGGTGCCCTCTCCCCACAGGGACACAGACCAGGACCTGGATGGCAGTGACCCTGACGGCCCCGGTCGCCCCTGCCCTGAGCAGGACACCCTGGCTGGGATGCACACAGGTAAGACATGGGGAGCGTCACCTGCCTTGGGGGTGGCTGCTGGTCTGGAGCTACGAGGCCAGGTGGAGCCCCCCGTCCCTGGCGCCTGGGACGGGTGGGCGTCTGGGTAGTCAAGGGCCCGCCACGTGGTGTGGATGTGGCTCTGCACAGCTGGCCAGGAGAGGGGAGGGCACGGACGGTGCTTGCCTGGGCTTGCTGAAGGGCTGCCTGTGGCCCACCCCCAGGGAGCCCCACAGGGTCAGGTGGGGTGCTTTCCAGGCCTCGGTGTCCCAGGAGGGCCTACCCGCCCCTCACTGGGGACATAACCCCAGTCACTGGGACACTCAGGAAGGACAGGGTGTTGGAGCTCTCGCCAGCATCTTGCACCTGAGGCCGCCACGGAGCACGACGAGGCCTCGGGCAGTTCTCACCATGTCCGAGGGTGGAGACCTGCGGGGGCAGGTGGGGTGCAGACAGGGACCCTTTGCTCTCTTGCCCTGCGTTGAGCTGGTTGAGTCATGGGAGGGTCGCCCCATTTTCAGAATGCGGTTTACGTGGCTCGTTTGCCCAGGGGTGCCCACATCACCCTGCCCCCTAGTTCACTGCCCCAAGCATCATTTATACCCAAGTCTGTTGTTTCTGCTCTAGTTTTAAAGATGTGGGTTGTGACCCATCCAGTGATGTTATGACCTTTTAAGCTGGGGCCTCAGCCTGTGGCCTCACAGATGTCAGCGTAACTGGTTTGTTTTGTGTTTGTGCAGAGGCTTCTTTGAGTTCTACGGGCTATGCTGGACCCAGCAAGGTTAGGTGGGCGCCCGCCCGGTCCACAGCCTGCCGTGCAAGGCGACTGAGCGTGGCGTGGCTGCAGCCCAGTCTGTGGGCAGGCCCCACCCCCTGCTGCCTTCTCGTTCACAGAGCCCCTGAGCATGGATGGCACAGCTGGTGGTCTCAGTGAGCCTGAAGTGGCCTCTGGTGGCCCCCCATCCTCGGAGCCAGAGCCCTGTTCCTTCCAACAACAGCTGGACGAGCCCCCCGCTGTGCCCCTGCCCCGTCTGCCCCCAGCCCCGGCCGACCCAGCCTCGTACCTGCCAGCTGTTGCTCCGGAGCCAGACGCCAGCCCGAGGTTGGCCGTGGACTTCGCCCTGCCCGGGGAGCTGCCCCTCATCCCCAGCCATGTGGACCTGGGTGCAGACCCGGAGGAGACGGTGGCCCCTGCCCAGGTGGCTTTGTCAGTCACCGAGTTTGGACTCATCAGCCTTGGGGACGTGAACCCCTTCCTGGCCGCCCACCCCACGTGCCCGGCCCCCGGGCTACACTCGGAGCCCCTGTCACAGTGAGTGCTGCCCAGCACCCCAGCTGAGGTCCCCCCAGCCCTCAGGCTGAGCTGTAGAAGGGGGCGGATTTGCCCCGAGGGCCCGAGGACAGTTTCTTTAGTTTCTTTTCTACTTCTGGTTTGATTTCTGTATTTCCTGCGGGAGAATACATTCCTGTGGTCCACATTCTCCACAAACAGGGCAGGCGCCGGGCTCTCCCTGCCCTGCCCCAGCCACTAGCTCCCCCAGAGCATGGGGCCTGCTGCTGTAGGGGCTTGTTCAGGCTACTTGCACTGGTGTAGGCTGGGGGAGGCAGGGCTCGGGTCAGCCCCTGGCACCAGGCCGTGTGGACATGTGGACGTTGCTGACACTCATCTGTGTAGGTTCTGGGCAGGGGCAAGGCTGGGAGGCTCGGGTCAGCCCCCGGCACCAGGCCATGTGGACATGGGGGCATCGCTGACACTCACCTGTGTAGGTTCTGGGCAGGGGCAAGGCTGGGAGGCTCGGGTCAGCCCCTGGCACCAGGCCGTGTGGACATGTGGGCCTCACTGACTCTGCTTCTCTCTTGGTCTCCCCTGCAGCTGTAACGTGATGACCTGTTGATTCCTGGCTGTGGGCAGGCGTGTGTGGCCCAGACTGGACTTGGCGCTGCTGCTGGCCAGCCTCGGTCGGTCTTCTGACCCCTTCCCCCCTCTCAGGCCTTGGGGCAGCACCTCCTCTGCTTCAGAACACATCGGGACTGGGGTGAGGGGGCTGGGCCATGAGCCCCTGCCTCCAACCACACAGACTGGACCCAGGGTCATACCCAGCACCGTCAGCGCCCGGCACTGCTGCCCGGGTCCAGGCTACTGCCTGCACGTGGGGTTCATCAGGCGGCCAGGGACAGAAAGACCCGGCCCTGGGGACACCGGGCAGAGCTGGCCGCCTAGTCCCTTCCAGCCAGCAGAGGCGAGGGAAGGGGTCGCTGCCCCGGCGGGGAGACGGCAGGACGCCCCGCCCCACACCAGCGGCCTCCGCTGGGGCACCCTCAGCTCCCTACTGGGCTCTGTCTCTCCACACCTGGCAGGGCCGTGGGCTGCCTCAGCTGGGGGGTCATGGGCAGCTGCTTCTCAGTGCCAACCCCTTGGGGCACAGAGCCATATACCTTGCTGTCCGGCTCCCCCCACCCCCCCACCCCCCCACCCCGTCGTCTCCACTTCAGGAAAAGCTGCACTTTACACCCCCCTGCTGCCTCCTCCCCTCCATCCCTGCTTTCCGATCCTGAGCGGTTGGGGTGGGGGCCCCTCAGCAACCCCAGAAGTGGGTTTGAGGAGACAGGTGGCTTACACCCTCTTTGCTGCCCTCCCCCAGTACCAAGGCAGGGGCCCCCAGAAGAGCCAGCTGCCCTCGCCGCCACGCGGGCCCGACTCCAGCTCGTTTGCCCAGCCCTGCAGGCTTTTCTTCTGTGGGAGCGTCCCAGCACGCTGGCTCGGAGTCCCATTCTCCCCGCCCCTCGTCTGTCTGTTTACACGTTGGAGTGGGGTCCTCCGTGGGTGGGTGCCGTCGGCCTGTTGTGCCCGAGCACCTTTCCGAGTGGACTCGACCATCCCTCACCCCCACCAAGGACCACACTGTGGAGTGATAACTGCCTTGAACCCCCCTTGCTGTTTTATTTATTAAACTTGATTTGAAGCCCAGGGCACCGTGTGGCGGACTGGGTGGGGCTGGGATGGCGGGTGTCCTTGTCCTCTCCCTCGGGGCCTGCGTGTCTGTTCGACAATCTGGGGTAAGTTGTGACCGACGCAGGCAGGGGGTCCAGTGAGGGGACGGCGTGGTGGGCCACGCGTCGTCTGCTCGGTAAGGAGAATGTAGGCGCGATGCCGGGGTGTGTGTGAGGAGGGCCCGCGTCTGCCTAGAGCTGGTCGGGGCAGTGCCCTGGAAGTGACATTTGAGCTGAGCCTGAAGGAGGATGGGCCTGCTGTGCTGACTTCAGCAGAGTCTTGGCAGTGATGACAGCAGACACGGAGGTGACAGGCCTGGGCTCCCAGAGGCTGCAGGCACAGAGGGCAGGCGTGTGGCAGCGTGGGCACCGCGGGTCATGAGGCTGAGTTTGTTCTTGGTGTGGAAGCCACTCGAGGTCTGCGTTGTTCACATCTCTGCAGGGGCTGTTCAGACCATGTCAGTGGCGCCCCCTCCATGTCAGTGAGGGAGATGCGGGCATGGTGGTGGCGTGTGCCAAGGCCTGCGTGAGCCATGTGAGGGGCCAGCCCCCAGTTGGGAGGTGATTGGGTTGGCCTGAGGGAGGATAGGAAAGAGATGGGCCAGGACCACTTGTGTGTTGGGTACGGGAGAGTCAGGGTTCTCTGGTGAGCCAGGGCCAGGAGCTGTGAGAACCAGTGCCAGCCTGGGGGTGTGGGGATGGGCTGTGGTGTGGTTTTCTTTTCTTTTTTTTTTTGAGATGGAGCCTCGCTCTGTAGCCCAGGCTGGGGTGCAGAGGCCCAATCTCGGCTCACTGCACCCTCCACCTCCCAGGTTCCAGCGATTCTCCTAATCAGCCTGCCAAGCAGCTGGGATTACAGGCACGACCTACCATGCCCAGCTACTTTGTGTGTTTTTTTAGTAGAGACGGGGTTTCATCGTGTTGGCCAGTCTGGTCCTGAACTCCTGACCTCGTGATCCACCCACCTCGGCCTCGCAAAGTGCTGGGATCACAGGCACGAGCCACCGTGCCCGGCCTGTAGAGCAGTTTCTGTTGGAGCACTGGGGTCTGGTTTAGTTTCCTTCAGGCCGGGAAGGTGCTCTGTCTTCTGGTTCACCCTGCCTCCCGCAGGAAATCTTTAGTCCTCTCTTGGTTTTTTCCTCTGCCAGCTTTGACGGCGTTTTGCTGCCTCTGGTTTTGAGCAGTTTGATGAGGATGTTCTGTGAACACGGACAGTGTGTACCCTTTGAGACTGGCTCTTCGGTATTCATTTCGGAACCCTCCATATCTTTTTGTGGCTCAATGGCCTCTCTTCCCTCCCCTCCCCTCCCCTCCCCTCCCCTCCCCTCCCTCCCCTCCCCTCCCTCCCCTCCCCTCCCTTCCCCTCCCTTCCTTTTCCTTCCATTCTTCCCTTCCATTCTTCCCTTCTTTCCTTCTTTCTTTCTCTCTTCCCCTCCCTCCCTCCCTCCCCCCTCCTTCCTTTCTTTCTTTCAACAGAATCTCCCTCTTGTTACCCAGGCTGGAGTGCATTGGCACGATCTCGTCTCACCACAACCTCAGCCTCCTGGGTTCAAGCGATTCTCCTGCCTCAGCCTCCCGAGTAGCTGGGATTACAGGCGTGCACCACCGTGACCAGCTAATTTTTGTACTTTTAGGTAGAGACAGGGTTTCTCCATGTTGGTCAGGCTGGTCTCGAACCGCTGGGGTTACAGGCATGAGCCGACACACCCAGCTCCTTCTCTTTTGAAGTAGATTTTTACAGGATAAAGAATTCTGAGTGGACAGGTTTTTTTGGGGGGTGTGTTAAAGTTGTAATTACGCCTGCTCTCTCTTGTTTCTGATGAGGAATTTCCCCAATCTTCCGTTTTCCTTAATATATGTAGGGGGAACCCTGCAGGTACCTTGGCAAGGGTCTGGAGCCTCAGCCTGTTCCCATATATATATTGATTTAGAAAAGAATTAGAAATGTAGGCACATAGTTATTCCTTCATATAATCGTATATAATCTTAGAGTTACTTATAAGGATATATACTCAATATCTTTAATCTTACTAGTGACTATCGGGTTATGAGGCATGGAACTGGGTGACATCGTGAACAAAGTGATCCTAAGTCATGATGTCCTGAGCCCTGTGTCACGCCCACGGAAGGGCTGCTGGAGGGCACCACGGCTGTGCAGCAGCGCCCATGCTGGGAAAGCACCCACCATTTAGCCAGCTAGGGGAGGAGATGCCCAAAATGGCCGAGACATCTCCTTCCCAGGGCAGTCAGGAGAAAACGCTGCTCCTCCAAGCTCCTGCAGTGGGCCTGGCGGCTGTCAGGGGGACCTGCAGACGTTGGGGACTCAACTGCCTCTATGTGATGCTGGCTTCAGCACTCACGTTCCATCCACGTCCACTCTCACGCCCCGCTTCTGCCCCCCGTTTCTCTTTTTCTTAAAAGGTGAGAATAATAGTAACATGATCTTAGTGTCCTTGAAGTTTCTGAGAAATACGCATTAGGTTTTCTCCTCGCCTCAGCTCCGTGAAAGTCCTGGGCCCCTGTCTCCAAGACACGAGACTTACGTGACCCCGTCACCGACCACCATTACCTCCCCTGACGTTCCCACCCCCTGCTTTGTACTCAATAAATTCAGTCAGAGCGTCGAGGTGCTCAGGGCCACTGCAGGTCTCCACACCTCGGCTGGCAGTGGACCCCAAGCCCGTCTTCTCTAGCTCTGTGTCTGTGTCTTGTTTCTAAGGTTTATGGTCTCTGCACCGGCAGGGAGGGGCTCACAGAACCCTATAGGGCTGCACCCTATAAATGTGAAATCTTTGGACCATATAGATGATTTTCTTGTATTTTTTGGACTTTGACAGTTTGTGATGGACCTGGGTCTAGTTTTCTGAACTGAGTGACGTCGGCCTGAGGGTGGGTGCATTTTAACAGATTTTGAAGTCTTGACCATTATTTCTGAAAATGTTTGTTTTCTTTATCTTCCTTAGAGTTCAGTTTCTGGGAGAATATTTCTCAAATTTTTCTGATTTCCCACTCTCTGTCTTCCTTTCGGGCCTCTGGTACATGTGCCATGTGCTGGGTGTCATCCCACAGGTCTCTGTTCACCTGTATCATGGCCATGGTGTCCCACGGGTCTCTATGTTCACTTGTATCATGGCCATGGTGTCCCACAGTCTCTGTGTTCACCTGTATCATGGCCATGGTGGCCCACAGGTCTCTGTTCACCTGTATCATGGCCATAGTGGCCCACAGGTCTCTGTTCACCTGTATCATGGCCATGGTGTCCCACAGTCTCTGTGTTCACCTGTATCATGGCCATGGTGTCCCACAGGTCTCTGTGTTCACCTGTATCATGGCCATGGTGTCCCACAGGTCTCTGTTCACCTGTATCATGGCCATGGTGTCCCACAGTCTCTGTGTTCACCTGTATCATGGCCATGGTGTCCCACAGTCTCTGTGTTCACCTGTATCATGGCCATGGTGGCCCACAGTCTCTGTTCACCTGTATTATGGCCATGGTGTCCCACAGGTCTCTGTGTTCACCTGTATCATGGCCATGGTGTCCCACAGGTCTCTGTTCACCTGTATCATGGCCATGGTGTCCCACAGTCTCTGTGTTCACCTGTATCATGGCCATGGTGTCCCACAGTCTCTGTGTTCACCTGTATCATGGCCATGGTGTCCCACAGTCTCTGTTCACCTGTATTATGGCCATGGTGTCCCACAGGTCTCTGTGTTCGTCTGTATCATGGCCATGGTGTCCCACAGTCTCTGTGTTCACCTGTATCATGGCCATGGTGGCCCGCAGTCTCTGTTCACCTGTATTATGGCCATGGTGTCCCACAGGTCTCTGTGTTCACCTGTATCATGGCCATGGTGGCCCACAGGTCTCTATGTTCACTTGTATCATGGCCATGGTGGCCCACAGGTCTCTGTGTTCACTTGTATTATGGTCATGGTGGCCCACAGGTCTCTGCAGTAACGTGTGATGGGCCTGGCTGTTGTTGCATGGGTCTCTGTTCTATTTTCTGTGTCTGTTCTA